GCGTCTGACTTCAGCTCAGGTCATGATCTCACAGTTCCTGAGTTCCGGCTCCATGTCGGGCTCTGTGCTGACAGCTCAGAGCCTGGATCCTGCTTCAGATTCTGTGTCTCCCTCTCTCTTTGCTCTTGTCCCACTTGCGCGCTCTCTCTCAAAAATGAACATTAAAAAAATTTTTTTAATAAAAAAAAACCAACAGTGATATCACCTTTCACATGAAAGGAAAAAGGAGAGGCAAAGAAATTTTTTTCTAGTAAATTTGGTAATTTCCACAATAAAAAATTTTTAAAAGACTATGCTACTATTTTGGAAAGCCAGAAAGAATTAAATAAAATTAATTTCAAAGAGCCAGCTGAGATATATAATTCTTTTTTATTTTTTTTAACGTTTATTTATTTTTGAGACAGAGAGAGACAGAGCATGAAAGGGGGAGGGTCAGAGAGAGAGGGAGACACAGAATCTGAAACAGGCTCCAGGCTCTGAGCTGTCAGCACAGAGCCCGACGCAGGGCTCGAATTCATGGACCGCGAGATCATGACCTGAGCCGAAGTCGGCTGCTTAACCGACTGAGCCACCCAGGCGCCCCTGAGATATATAATTCTTGATAAAAAATGAAGTTTTATCATTGTGTAAATAGCCTTAGTTTTGAAGTTTTAACTAATGTATTTTTTACTTTAAACACTTATTTAGAAGAAATGTTCAATAGAAGAGGTGGAATAACTTGATTTGTTTTGGTTTTCTTACAGCCAAAAATCTTAACCAAATAAATTATATGGCCTACAAGTTTGGTAGCCTAACTTTCTCCGAAGGGAGATATTGGACAAGTACTTAATTATATAATTAGGTAAAAATAGCCAACACTTATACTACCTGATTACATGGTAGGCACTGTGGTGAGTACTTCACACATGTAAGCTCATGTGATCCTCCTCTCAACTCTAGGATACAGGTAGTTTTCCTGCCCATTTTCAAGATGGAAAGTGAGGAACACAGTAACCTGCTCACCTTCCACAGCTGTGAAGGAGCAGGGCCAATATTCCAACCCTGGCAAGTTTCACTTCAATCTGTAGTCTCACCCACCATGCCAGAGCGCTTTAATTATATTATTTCGTTAAGAATAGAATTAAAAATAGTCAACATTCCCCTTCTGACACATCCTAAAAATCTGCATCATTTTTCAAATAAATTTCACAATGCCCATTCCATATGGCTCAGAACAATTTGTCCTTCAGAAATTATTAATACCATGACAAAGCAGGAAAATGCAAAAACATTGCAATTCAAATTTTTTGGGAGATGTTTAAAACTAAGAAACAACCTCTTAATCACTTAAAATATATTCATTAAAATTTAGCACAGAGGACTTCAGATAATGCAGTTACGAATTATTAAAATTTCATGTGGCACAACTCCTTACATTAACAAATGAGAGAAGTTAGGCCCAGAATACAGTACAGTTGGTATGTTTTAGTTGGTATTTCTGCTGGACGTAGGGATAATCACTGTGCAATCCTTAACGTAAGAATTATGGATTCCCTCGCTTCCAAAACATTTACACTGTATGCATTCAGAGAAAAGAAAATACATAATTTATTGAAGTTAGGACCATGGAAAAGCTTAGTCTCCTAGAGGAGAAATATAGATACACACACACACACACACACTCCGAGAGAGAAAGACAGAGAGAGAGAGAGAGAGAGAGAGAGAGAGAGAGAGAGAGAGAGAGAAATCTATAAAGATACCATCAAAATGAGAAGGCAATTTCCTTTCAAATTTCTTTCACTCCTATATTGCCAGTCATTTTTTCCTCAGGTAGAATTAAGGCCCAGTGTTGACTTTTTTTTTTTTTTTTTTTTTTTTTTTAATATCTTCTAGTTCTGGGGAAGAAATTATCACCCAGGCAAAAGATGAGGCTAGGATTACCTAAGACAAATGAAGTTTCTCAGTAAAATTAGATATTGCTGCCACATCAGTTTGGTAAGGGCATAAATGCATTAAAAATTCGCAAGAACATTTTTGTACACAACATGTCCAGTGTTACTTAAAATCTTTGCAGCTGAGAGAATCCTTTGAAAGTAGTGGGAGTGAGGACTGAGAAAACACATAGCAGCAGACCAGGCCTCAGGCATCCAGGGTCTCTATAAGCCACAGATTCCTATAATTACCCCTTCAGAGCCCAATGCTTCTTTTCCAACTGTGGCTCACATTCTCACCCTTTAACCCTATACTAAGAAAGAAAATAAATATGAAATTAAAACCAGAGTTTTGCCATATTTTGTTGGCCGCGCCAACATCTTGATTTTAGATTTCTGGTACGTAGAACCCTACGAGAAACGTAATTACTATTATACGTTGACTTCTATTGTTGTAAGTCACCCACACTGTGGTACTTTGTTATAGTGGCCCTGGGAAATATATATAGTCCTTAATGATATGATATGGTACCTCCCTTGTCTGATCATCTGATAAGTGAAAACCTCAGTACTACAGCATAGGATACCTTCCAATTTATAGTTACTATATGTTTTAAATACCACCATTATCTTCACCTTCAATAGACAATCATCACAGTATTTTCTCTGCTCTTAGTCTTTCTCACTTCTTTGTGTTATTTAACTTGGTATTTGTCTAATTCATCCTAACCTAGGTTGCCATAATTTGCAAATTAAAAAACTGTGTTTTATCTGGAAACCATAAACGCCTACTAAACCTCTAATGCAAAACCACTATTTAAATAACACTGAATAGGGACTGTTTTGTTTACTTGCCACTCCCCTCCAACAAAATGAGTTAAAAGCAGAAACTGGGGGCGCCTGGGTGGCTCAGTCGGTTAAGCGTCCGACTTCAGCTCAGGTCATGACCTCACAGTCTGAGAGTTCGAGCCCCGTGTCGGGCTCTGGGCTGACAGCTTGGAGCCTGGAGCCTGCTTCCAGTTCTGTGTCTCCCTCTCTCTCTGCCCCTCCCCTGCTCACACTCTGTTTCTCTCTCTCAAAAATAAATAAACATTAAAAAAAAATTTAAAAAAAAAAAAAAAGGCAGAAACTTTTTTCCTATCACCTATGCCTAGTAGAAGAAAGCAATAAATACCAATACCAAGGGTTGACACACTATGTCCATGAACCATAACCCTATCAATAAAGCATTACTGGAATACAGCCACACTTATTCAATTACATATCATTTATAACTGCTTTCAATTCTATAATGGCACATACAAATAGTTGAGACAAAGACTCTATGGGCCCACAAACCCTAAAACATTTACTATCTGGTACTTTACAGAAAGTTTGCTGACCCACTTGGTGAATAAATGAATAATCACCAAAGATATCAAATGCAACCAATATGAAAGTAAAATCAATAAGCATATTAACATGGATATCTGGAGTTTTACAAGTGCGTGTATACAATAAATGTCTGAAGAACACTTTAAATATTATGATGCTTCAGTAAGTTCACACTGATAATTACTCTTATTCGAAGCATAGCAGCTATCACAGTGGTTAATACAGAGGATTTTACCATCTGCACATTTACCCGCTTAGTAACCCCCCCCTCCATTTACACTGTGGATTAGTATGACAATTACTTTCATTAGTTACATACAGCTGACTCTCGAACAACATGGGTTTGAAGTGTGCAATTCCACTTTTATGCAGATTCTTTCAGTATAGTACAGTAAATGCATTTTCTCATTTCTTTTCATTTTATCTCATATGATTTCCATAATAACATTTTTTCTGCCTTACTTTAAGAATACAGTATATAATACAGATAAACTTAAAACACACGTGTTAATGGATTATTTACATAAGCGTTTGGTCAACAGCAGGGTTTATTAGAAGTTTATGGGGATTCAGAAGTTAAACCTGGATTTTCAAATGTGCACAGCGTCACCAACTTAAGCCTCTGACTTATTCAAGGGTCAATTGTACCTTTCTTAAAATGGACCTCTTTGAGCAAACACTTTTTATTTCACTGGGGGGAAATTATATAGTTTTTAGGACCTAAATAAATGCCATGGTTTCCATACAATAAATCATACTTTGTTATGATAATTAATACTTCACCTAACCATCTTGCATATCTGACCGTATCTGATCTAGAACACAGCTAAGAAATGAGGGGGATAAAAAGGGGATGTACATTCTTGTGAAGTACAAACAGAGCACATGTGAACGTTATGTATATACACACACATACGTGTACATGTAAAGATATATTTCACTATATATTTATAAACACCTATGTGTTTATAAATATATATATTTCACTATATTTATAAACACCTATGTGTTTATAAATATATATATTTGATACTAGTTATATCTTAAGTACATAAATATATACAACTCGGAGCCTGTTCTTAATTATACACAATTATATGCAACATATAAAGATCTTTAACCTGGAAAGATATAAGGCATAAAGATTAACTCAGTTTATTTTTAAAGTTTTTTTTTTAATTGAGGTATAACTGACATAGAACATACATTACTTTCAGGTATACAACACAATGATTTGATATTCATTCTAAATTATACACAATCTATACAAGTTAGTAGTGTAACTATGATAGCCAACACAAATTAAAAGTTCTAAATTATAATAATAAAATTTCTTCCTACAAGTAGGCTAACCAACTGGAGCAGTGAGACGTATCACATGCTACCAATATATGTTTACAATTCATAAACATTTTAAAACCTTGCTACACAAAGTAAGGTTTCAGAATGGGGGAGGAGGAATGGGCCTTGATTAGGGTCCCATCAGCAGGGACCTTGTCAGAAACGTGGAATCTGCATTTTAACAACATCCTCAGGAGATCTGTATGCACATTCAAGTTTGAGATCCCTGGTTCAGAGGTGTCAGAGAAATTAAATAACTTTAAAAGAAAAAACTGTCTAGTACTTTTCTTGCCAATCATCCAAACCCAAATGAAGGTCCAATTTTGCAAAATACAGATGGAAAAATTACAATATTCATTTAACATAGGACAATACCTTGAGCACTTGAACTTGACCTTCTGTAGTAATTTCCTTTAGCAGCTCACAAAAGGACTGACATAGACCTACTGCATATGTCTGAAATTCAATCAGAAGTCAAAATATACATATGAATACATCTGCACTATTAAAAAAGGCAAAAATTCAATGTGGAACTATCACCTATTTGTGCATTATATACTTAAGTTCTAAGCATGTAAAGTTTCAATTAGAACTCTTAAGAAGGAAAAGCTTAGAAAATAAAAATACAGTTCACTGCTTTACTGATTTTTACAGAAATGTAAGGATACATTTATCTGCATCCTATCTGCCTTACAGTGCTTACAAAGTTTTTTTCTCTCTTTAAAGTAATAGAGCGATCTTTAAAATTTGTAAAAGGTACCTATTGATTTCAAATGAGCAACAATCAAATAACTACATAAATTTTTACAACGCAGAAACTACTAAACCATACCTGTAGAAATTCTGTTGATGATAAAAAGATATAACCATTGATGATCTTAAAGCAGGTTCTGAGGTTTTCTGAACTTAGTTCTGCCAATAAATTTATTTGAAAAAGAACAAATTAATTCAATGTTCACAATCAGTTTAAATGAAACAATTTATTTAGAACTAAGTTATATACCCTTCTTTACAAATCTTTTCTGAGTGCTATTCAGACTACTAAGATATAGATAGCTATCTAAAAACTGACATCAACCTATACATGAGTACCTTCCCATACACCTCCACTAGTTAAAACAATTCAGAAAAAAATATTAAGGACCAGGCTTTTTTTTCCCTTCAGAAAAGAATTATGTAACCAAATGAACCAACCTTTTGTTTCAAACGACATTTCTAGTGCTAGTGCCCTACTTATGGAAAGAGTCCCTGTTACACTCCAAAAACTTAAACCATTTAGATAATTCTCAATCCTTGATTATCTTCAAATCTCCTCCCTGTAAGAACTTACACATAAAAGATGTTCTTAAAATGTAACTACCAGGGGCACCTGGGTGACTTAGTCCATTAAGCGTCTAACTCTTGATTTCAGTTCAGGTCATGATCTCAGTTACTGGGTTCAAGCCCCACATTGGGCTCCACACTGATGGCATGGAGGCTGCTTGGATTCTCTCTCTCCCCCGCTCTCAGTCCCTACCCTGCTCATGCAAGCTCTCTCTCTCAAAATAAATAAATTTAAAAAAACTGTAACTACCAGAATAGCACAAGGATATTGTGTTTTATCTATTCGAGTAGAAAGCTATTTTATTAAAATTGTGTATCATCAAGTGTTCATAGTGTTATTTTACATCTTAACACGTATAATAGACTACAGATCTTATGTATATAATTATACAGATCAAAACATGACCCCAAAATCTACATTAAACATCTGCCATTCTTTGTTGCTAATATTTTCAAAATTCTACTTACAATACGATTAAAAAAGATTTTTTTAGGCTCTGGCACTCAATTAATTCCCATCCTAGCAAAGTGAGAAGACATTCTATTTGGATGAGAACTTCCCATGTACTTTCAAAAGTATCGGACCATCTTACTTCCAGCTCAAAACGTCTTTTAAAGGCACATTCAGTACATACTTTAGGATTCAACAGACCAGTTTAAAATGAAAAAAGTGGAAGGGACAGAGATGGATGAAATTGTTACCATACTAATGAAAAAACATAGAAATAATAAAAGCTATCATCTAAATATTTTTCATGTAAGATGACAAAATCTCTGGATAAAGGAGCAGGCCTTTATATTGGATAAAGCTGTTGTTTTTTTTTTTTTTTTAAAGTTTATTTATTTTGAGAGAGAGAACTAGGGAGCAGAGGAGGGGCATAGAGAGAGGGAGAGAGAGAACCCCAAGCTGTCTCTGAGCTATCAACACAGAGCCCAACATGGGGCTCGAACTCACAAACGGTGAGATTATGAACTGAGCTAAAACCTAGAGTAGGACACTTAAGTGACTGAGCCACTCAAGACACCCCTGGATAAAATAATTCTTTTTTTTTTTTTTTTAATTTTTTTTTTCAACGTTTTTTATTTATTTTTGGGACGGAGAGAGACAGAGCATGAATGGGGTAGGGACAGAGAGAGAGGGAGACACAGAATCGGAAACAGGCTCCAGGCTCCGAGCCATCAGCCCAGAGCCCGACGCGGGGCTCGAACTCCCGGACCGCGAAATCATGACCTGGCTGAAGTCGGACGCTTAACCGACTGCGCCACCCAGGCACCCCAGGATAAAATAATTCTTACAAGAAATTGTCTTTTTCTCCTCAAGGAGAAAGCCAAGTCTGGACTTGGGTACACTGTTTAGCAGACCAACAGTGAAAAAGAGATGGGCAATGATTACAAGTAAGGCAGAAAGGTCTTGCTTAAATAAGAGCTTAAAAAGGCCACAATACAGGCACATCAGGGAATGTAATTTCTAAATCACTGACGTCTAAAATCTTATCAATATATACGATGAAGGGAACAATATTTAAGAAGGATTAATTTCCAAAACCACAGTGTCCATCTCTTCTTGCAGACACTTTAAACACTATTCGTGGGTGCATCTAGAGAGGCAAACACTCAAGTGACTAGTTCACTTCATACTGTTTTCCATGCCTCTATCATGCCAAGGTTAGCTTTGACTGAATTTTCTAGGACATGCTATTATCAGCAAGTATTAAATACTGACACTAAAAATACACTTAAAATTAATAAATTTATCTAGTTTAAAGTATAATGAATGTTATTCATTATATCCATGAGTTCCTACGGACACTCTGAAGAAAAATTACTGTCCAGTCTAATATCAAAAGGAGCTATGCTTTAAGGCGCCTGGGTGGCTCAGTCGGTTAAGCATCCAACTCTTGCTTTCAGCTCAGGTCACAATCTCATGGTTTGTGAGTTCGAGCCTCGCGTCAGGCTCTGTGCTCACCGTGTCAGAGCCGATTTCAGATCCTCCATCTCCCCCTTTCTAGCCCTCTCCCACTGCTCTTTCCCTCCCTCACTCTCAAAAATAAAGGTTAAAAAAGTTTTTTAATAAAAAAAAAAGAGCCATACTTCAACCATGCAAGAGATCGTATTTATTTTATTTGTTTTATTTTTATATATAGAGAGAGAGAGCACACCCGAGCAGGAAAGAGGAGCAAATGGAGAGAGAGAATCCCAAGCAGGGCTCAATCCCAAAACCTTGGGATTATGACCTGAGCTGAAATCAAGAGTTGGAAACTCAACCGACTGAGTCACCCAGGTGCCCTGTATTTACTTTCAGACCCTGTGAATAACTTAAATCAAATGCTATCAAGCAGGGGCTACTGCCCTCCCAGGAGATACATGGCAATGGCTGGAAACTCTGGTTGTTACAACTGTCTAGTGGAATGAGGTTAAGGAGGCAATTAAGCTTCCTACAATGCACACGACAGCACCTCAAAGCAAAAAATGACCTGACCCAAAATGTCAACAGTGTCCACACTGAAAACGCCTAACTTAGGTGGTCAAGTGTTTCTTTCATAGCTTGTGAATGAAATCAGAGGGCAAATCTCTGACCCATAGTATCTAATTGTACTATCCATGTATGATTTGTATCTATTAGTCTAATTATAATTTATACTCTGCAAATCCTTTTTTTTTTACCCCCTATTCTTTTGCTCCTGTAATCTGTACCTTCATGTTATGTTTTATTTATTTTCTTAAAGTCTCTGTAATAGGACAAAGAGAACAAATTATTGAATAATGTTTAAAAAATTGAGTAGAAAACTCTATTTAACCATACTACTTAAGGTTTATGTTTGGAAATGTGACTATCACAATTTCTTTTTATTTCAAGTTCTGATAATATATGAGGACTAAAATGTGTAATAGAGCCTACCTACATTATCATGAAGTTAGAGAGGGAAAAGTCCCTTCCAAATTAGAGGGCAAGTTACCAGCAGAAAAATTTGATGGGTCAAGGAACATTAGTTTGACATTTATGGTAACACGGACAAGAGCCAGTCAGATATGTATCTTGTAAGTAATGAGAATACTAAATAAGTTAACACTAAAAATAGATTTAAAGGATTTTAAAAACAAGCCTTTAGAACTACATTATCTGAATTACTTTTAATTATAGCCTCTGGTTCTACTTTAAATTCCTCTGATTCTACATATATTTAGGAAAAAGGATATAAAATGAATTTTAGTCCTGGATTTATTCACACTTAATTAACATATCTTAAAAACCATTAACTTAAACATCTAATAATAGTCAATATTGTTGGTTTTATGGATTTTAAACGACAATGAGAAAATTCCTGCCAATAGCTTTATTTCTACTTATAAAAATGTAATAGCTATCATATTGACTAAGTAACTTTTTAAAAATCACAGATATTGGAGTGCCTGGGTGCCTCAGTCAGTTGAGCGTCCAACTTTGGCTCAGGTCATGATCTCGCAGTTTGTGAGTTCGAACCCTGCATTGAGCTCTGTGCTGACAGCTCGGAGACTGGAGCCTGCTTCGGATTCTGTGTCTCCCTCTCTCTGCCCCTTCCCCGCTCATGCTCTGTCTCGCTCTGTCTCTCAAAGATGAATAAACGTTAAAAAAAATCATTGCCAGAACAATTTCCTTTAATATCTTAAAAAAAATTTTTTTTTCAATGTTTGTTTATTTTTGGGACAGAGAGAGACAGAGCATGAACGGGGGAGGGGCAGAGAGAGAGGGAGACACAGAATCAGAAACAGGCTCCAGGCTCTGAGCCATCAGCCCAGAGCCTGACGCGGGGCTCGAACTCACAGACCGCGAGATCGTGACCTGGCTGAAGTCGGACGCTTAACCGACTGCGCCACCCAGGCGCCCCAAAAAAAATTTTTTTAAATAAATAAAAATCACAGATATAAAAAGAATCTGTTTTCACTGATAAGCAAGTTTTCTTTTGATCTGTATTCTTAAATGATTAAAATTAATACTCTGGTTGGACTTCAAAGTAAATTTTAAACCTCATATAAAAGAATGTATACGCAAAATGCTGTATGTGGAAATTAGTTTTACAATACTCAAAAAAAAAAGTTAACACTGATGTCAAGGTTACTAAACGTGTAAACATGATTTCTTCATATTACCAAACCAAATATACATACCATAATACATAAAACAAATTACACATAATGTTTGCTTTCAAAGAGAAAAGCAGGGAATAAACTAATTCAAAAGCATCTATATCATCTATATTCACTGCTACTATCTGTAAAATACAGAATTTTTAAAACTTTTGAAAATTAAAAAAGTTTACATCAAATATCAGTATCACAGGGATGAAATCTCACTAGTTCTTTTTTAAACAATGTTTACTCATTTTCAGAGAGAGGGCATGCGTTTGTGGGGGAGGAACAGAGAGTGCATGTATGAGTACTCGTGGTGGGTGGGGGAGAGCAACAGACAGGGAGAGAAAGAGGGAGAGAAAGAGGGAGAGAAAGAGGGAGAGGTAGAGGGAGAGGGAGGGACAGAGAGACAGAGAGAGAGAGAGAGAGAGAGAGAGAGAGAATATCCCAAGAAGGCTCAGTGCTGTCAGCACTGAGCTCAAGGCAGGGCTTGATCTCACCAATAGTGAGATCATGATCTGAGCTGAAATCAAGAGTCAGATGCTTAACCGCCTAAGCCACCCAGGTGCTCTACAATTTCACTAGTTTTTGATCCATTTAAGTAACAAATCCTACAAAGGTTGGTTAGCTTTTCTTTTAAAATAACAGTAATATTAACAGTAACACATATAATTGCAAAATACTTAACTAATCTTTAGTATGTGCCAGAGAATGTTCTTAACACATAGAAGTCCTTACTGATTTGGAAAGACTATGCATCAACTACAAAGCTTTCTATGGTAAACTGTACCATCGTGTTTACCTAAATCTACACTCAAAATACTGTCATAAAATCACAGTAGGGTTAGTCAATGCTTTTATGTCTCTTTTTCCAGTGTACCAACCCTTCTCCTGCTATACTGTAAAGGTCAGGTATGCTGAATTTGGGGTCAAAGAACACATGTAAAGTGAAATCACTGTGACTATCCACTTTACCATGAACAGGAGTCAGCCATTTTTACTTAGGAAGATATCCATAAAGGAAAATTGTCTGAATCCTGTTCATGACAACGTTGATAATGGCTCCAGTTGAGGTTTCTATTCCTCGGTCAAATATAAAGAACTGTGGATTACCCAGAATGGCACTGTATGTGGTCTCCAAGTTAGGTAGAATAGAACTAAAAGGCCTCTGCCAGAGTTAAGGGAAATGAAAGGCTATTTCCCACTCTATTTCTCTGTAGTGTCTTAAAGACAGACACAACTTTTCTTACAAGACTAGCGATAAGTGGTCTATTGGCACAGTCTTCATCTTTGGGAATTTTTTCAACATTTTTATAAGGACACTTTATGATAAATGGCAAGTGGCTCTGTAATGGAAAACAATGGGTATTTTGGTATTATTTGAGATTTATATAAAGAACAGGATAACAGAAGATCTCAGAAAAAACACAAAGGACTAATTATATCATCTGCCCACTAATACCACCCAGCAAATGACATGTTTTCTAATCAGTTTTAATAGTGTTTTAATCCACATTTGTTGATACTTTCAAAAAGTTTATCTACTTTTCCAGTGCATCACTGTACCTCAATAATATTTCTGCCTCTAATAAAACTGCTCACTACAAATAAGTTCCCAGAAAAAAGTCTTCAGATATTGCCATAAATGCCCTCTCCTGACAATATTCAGTTAGTGTATACAAAGTTCCAACGAAGGAATTAAAGATGCTTGAAGAATACTATGAATGGAAAAAAATTTTTACATTTTATAAATAAATGATACTATTTTACAGACTGGAAAAGAATCAGAAAGGCGACTAAATAGCACCGTATACAATCCTTGTATTACTCCATGAGTTGATGTGGATGAAACTCGACTGTATTATGCTAACTGAAGTCAGTCAGTCAGAGAAAGACAAATATCCTATGATTTCACTCACATGTGGAATTTAAGAAAAAATACAGATGATATGTTTGGAAGGGAAGGAAAAATAAAATAAGATAAAAACAGAGAGGCAAACCCTAAAAGACTCTTAAATACAGAAAACTGAGGGTTGCTGGAGGGGAGATGGGTGGGCAGATGGTCTAGATGGGTGATGGGCATTAAGGTTGGCAGTTGTGACAAGCACCGAGTGTCATATGTAAGTGATGAATCACTAAATTCTACTTCTGAAACCAATACTACACCGAATGTTAACTAACCTGAATTTAAATGAAATCTTGGAAAGAAAAAAAAATGTGAATCTCCAATGATAAAATCCCTCACGAAGTAAAATCTCCATAAACAATTATTCATTTTTTCAATGTAAAATACTACATACTTGTGAATGGTAGTGATATCTAACAGAAAAGTATTTATTTCCTTGAGAATTATCATCATAATACATGTTTAGACTGAAAAACAAAACAACAATTAGATCTCATCCAAGGTGGCTGAAAGAAACTAAGGCCCCGTTCCTTGCAGAGTGTCCAGGTCCCCTATCCCATGTGCCACAAGTGATGCTCCAGGAACATCAAGCTTCAGGATAGGGTGCCTGGGTGCTCAGTTAGTTAAGCATCCAACTCTTGATTTGGACTCAGGTCATGATCTCACTCTTTGTAAGCTAGAGCCCCACGTCTGGCTCTGCACCGACAGCTCAGAGCCTGCTCAGGATTCTCTCTCTCCCTCTCATTCTGCCCCTCCCCTGCTCACATGCTCTCTCTCTCACAAAATAAACTTTAAAAGACAAAAAGAACACTAAGCTTCATGATGTCACATCTCTATACATAAGTAACACATCAACACACAATAAATATGATTTGCCAGTAGTTAACAGTCTTCACATTGTTGCTTCCTTAGGCTAAAAGAGAAACACGTATGGGAGCACCTGGGTGGCTCAGACAGTTAAGCATCCAACTCTTGGTTTCAGCTCAGGTCATGATCTCACAGTTCATGAGTTCAAGCCCCACACTGGGCTCTGTGCTGGAAGCTGGGAGCCTGCTTGAGATTCTCTTTCTCCCTGTCTCTGCCCTCCCCAACTCACACTGTCTCTCTCTCTCAAAATAAATTTAAAAATTAAAAAAAAGAAAAAAAATATGTACAGAGCTCATTTGTGATAGCGTAAATCTGATAGCATAAAATCACTTTGTAAAACAAACTGGATGAAACCACGGTATACAGAAGCAGTTTTATAATATTGTCTTTTAAATACTTTATAGAATCTGCTATGAAACACAGAAATTTTAACAAAGTTAAAACTAAACACAGAATTAGATTTCCAAGAAGACTTTTTTTAGTGATTTAGTAAATTTAGCGTTCACTCTTCACAAAGTAAAAATGGTTTTACAAAGTTATATACGAAAAAAAAATCCACAAACTATTAAAACACTATTAAACTTGTGAGTATCAGGGACTTGTGTAAAATGGAAGGTATAATTTAAAGTCACCCAATAAGGCCCCAAAGGAGGGCTGCATTCAAAAACAGTATTAAGTTTACATTTTAATACATACCAAGAAGGGGGGACATATTCTGAAATATGCGAAGCAACTCCGGTGTAACACATGGGCTGTTTTCCAAAGTCACTAACCTAGGAAGAAAAAACAAATAGCTGAATCTCTTTCTATAGCCATTAAGCTCTTAACAATACAGCTTACTAAAAAATTGTCCCATCTAAAGGAAGAAAGAAAAATGAACAATACAGCAAGTTACAAAAGTTATCTTTCTATATCAAATGAAAAAGTACACATCGCACATTATTATTTTCTATATACACAGCAAAAATAGTAAGGGAAGTAACTACATATTAAAATATTTACAACTACAAAATGTCTTTACAATAAAATTTTAATGATACAGCAAAAGCATGATTATTATGGAATGGTCAAGGAAACATAAAATTGTCTTGTTCTTTTTATATTGTTCTGTCACATGTAACTGATGTGCCCTTTCAACAAGACACTGGGCAATATGAAAGAATAAATCTATAAAAAATAAAATATATATGGGTTGTGGTTTATCACAGAAGTGTGCATTTGGTTTACCTCCTCACCCCTCACCCAAAGAAGTTAAAGGAGAAAAAAAAAACCATGATTGTCACAATAGTTGCAAGAAAGGAGTAGGAGGGGATCCTATTCAAAATCTAACATTCATTATAAAAACGCTTATCCTATTACAAACAGAAAGAAAATCCTTAATCTGGTAAGAGAGGACCTATCCAACACTCAAAGAAAACACACCTAATGATATGTTGAAGCCATTCTCTGGAAAAACAGAATCACATCTCAAACAATTTCTTCTATTACCTTGCCTGCCTTCCCATCTACTGAGTGTATATATAGATGGTTCCTCACATGATATGCCAACTAAGTTAATAAGACACAAGGGTGAGAGGAGAAAGTTAAATAGGCTTTATTTACAACAGGTGTGACAGACAGAAAAGAGACGCAGAAAGAATTCATAAAGTATTTTAACCACTAAGAGACTTCAACAAGGCTGCTGTAAATATCAATACACTGCATACAAAAATGAACTCAGTTTCTACACTCAAAACAAATAAAGATTTAAATAGATGTTGGGGCACCTGGGTGCCTTGGTTGAGTGTCCGACTCTTGCTTTCAGCTGGGGTCATGATCTCCCAGTTTTGTGAGTTTGAGCCCTCTGTCGGGCTCTGTGCTGGCAGCTCAGAGCCTGCTTGGGATTCTCTCTCTCCCTCTCTCTGACTCTCCCCCACTTGCAAGGTCTCTGTCTCTCTCAAATAAAGTAAAACTTAAAAACAAAATAAAATACTTAAATAGATGTTATTATAAGAAACACTAATACAAAAATCTAGCATCATAATGATGTCAATTCTCTCCCCCACTTACAATGTTTCTCTCTCAAATAAAACTTAGAAACAAAGTATTTAAACAGACGTTATTTTAAGAATCACTGATACGGGGCGCCTGGGTGGCGCAGTCAGTTAAGCGTCCGACTTCAGCCAGGTCACGATCTCGCGGTCCGGGAGTTCGAGCCCCGCGTCGGGCTCTGGGCTGATGGCTCAGAGCCTGGAGCCTGTTTCCGATTCTGTGTCTCCCTCTCTCTCTGCCCCTCCCCCGTTCATGCTCTGTCTCTCTCTGTCCCAAAAATAAATAAACGTTGAAAAAAAAAAAAAAAAGAATCACTGATACAAAAATCTAGCATCATAATGATGTCAATTCTCTCTAAACTGTTATAGAGAAACAATAAAACTTCAACCCTCCATAGACTTTCCCCTAGAAATTAGGAAAGTGGATTCTAAAATGATTTAGAAGGCAAATGACCAAAAATAAACAAGAAATTTATCAAGAAAAAAAAATATGGGGGGGGGACTTGCTTTATGACTCACTCTAAAACTAATGTATTTAATATCATAAAAAGAATACCACAAGAAACAGACCCACTCATTTAGGACAGAGGTGGTTCCTAGGTTAAGAAAGGTTGGAAAACTCAGGCATTGGTGGGAAGCTACTGGGCCTCTACCTCACACGAAATACAGAAATTAATTCCAGTATTTATACGAGAAATGTAAGTCTTTATTTTATGTTAGCAGTACATACTTATAGCTTTAGGTTTAAGAAAGACTACAGAAAAAGATGAATACGACTACATTAAAGTTAACAATTGCTCTATGTCAGAAGATGTCTCAAAATTGTCAAAATCTAAGTCACATGCTGGGAGAAGACTGTTTCTAATATATATAACTGAAAAGGGAACAGTATTCAAAGGAATATACAAAAGAGGTTAGGAAGAGAAAAACATATAGAACAAACGAACAAGCAATCCAGAGGATACAAAAATTCACAATAAACTTGACTATTAAAAGTATAAAAAGATATTGAACCCAACCAGTAATCAAATCACAGCCAAAATTACAAACGCAAATTATAAGCAAAACAAGGTACAATTTTACCCCTACCATATTACCAGGATTTTTCAGTCTGACCTAATAAATACTGGCAAAGCTATAAAAAAGTGAAAACTCTTGCACACTGCTGACAGGAAGAAGTTGGTATCAAGACTTGGAAAGTATTATTATCTGAACTAGTGAAATATGTCTATGTGCACACACCTATGACCTCATGAATAAGGTCTCATACATTTGCACACTTATTCATGTACAAAAATGTTCAAGTTGCATTATCTGAACATCCGACAAAACGGCATATGAGTAAATGAACTGTTACATTCACACCATTACATTCAGCAATATGGATGAATCTTAGAACAGAGAGCTAAAAAAATAAGTTAGAACACCTATTGTAAAATTTATATGAAGGTAAGATACATTGTGTAGAGTCACATACAAACGTGACTGTAAAAACAGCAAGCCACAAGAAAATAAACTAAGGAATGAAAACAAAAAATACTGGTACACCGGCTCATCCCTGCAATGAAAACAGGAGAATCCAACAAACATCCCACACCATGGGCTTCACAGACATTCTTACTCTCCCACAGCTTCACCAGGGTACAGAAAATGGATTTTCATTTTATGTAAGTTATAAATAATTACAAACAATATGACTTCCCTATTACTTTGTATCTATGAATTATTTCACAAATCTTAAATGTTAAAATTAGGAAGAAGGGGGACATAGAAGAAAGCAGCCACCCACAAAATGAAGTACGGGCCACACACACAAGCAGTGGTAGCTTTAGATACTTTGATCAACAAGAAGAGGATTTGATTCCATGATTACATTTCTCAAGAATACAATGAAAGAAAAGATTTTTAAAATTCTTTCCTATTCCCCTTTAATTTTTTTTTTCAACGTTTATTTTTGGGACAGAGAGAGACAGAGCATGAACGGGCGAGGGGCAGAGAGAGAGGGAGACACAGAATCGGAAACAGGCTCCAGGCTCTGAGCCATCAGCCCAGAGCCCGACGCGGGGCTCGAACTCACGGACCGCGAGATCGTGACCTGGCTGAAGTCGGACGCTTAACCGACTGCGCCACCCAGGCGCCCCTCCTATTCCCTTTTAAAATAAAAATGAAACCGAAAGAAAAACCATAATCCAGTCATGATATTTCAGTGAGAAAACAATTGATGGGCATCTTCTAAATCTCAGAATACTTTTGAAGCTCTGTCACTGGGCCCTAATTAAGACTCCATGTGACTCTTTCCCTCCCACTGTCATTATCTTAGTAAAAAGAGCATTCAGGTCATTGTCACTCTCACTACCTACCTATGCTAGCTTCCCAAATACAAGCCATACTATTTTAAAAAGGAAGAAATCTTGGGGCGCCTAGGTGGCTCAGTTGGTTGAGCGTACAATTCTTGGTTTTGGCTCAAGTCATGATCTCACGGTTTGTGGGTTACAGCCCCATGTGGAGCGTGCTTGGGATTCTCTCTTTCTCCCTCTCTCTCTGGCTATCCCCCACTCATACTCTCTCAAAATAAATAAACTTAAAAACAAAAAGGCAAAAAAATCTTGCAGAGTTTAAAGTACTTAAAAGTACTATGACATGGCAACCACTCCAGATTAAACAAGTGAATGCTTAGAAAGGAAAGAAAGAGAAACAAAGTCAAGGCACTAATGGAAAGTTAAGGGACAAGTTATGCTGATGAATAATTAGACAAAGTTGTATATACCAACATCTTTAGCTAGAGAAATGTAAATTTTAATGTTACCCCTCTAAATAAAATACAGAAAACAAAGAGCATGAAGTAAAAACACAGGCATAGCAATTCAACAAATAAATATAAGAGCATGAAAATTCTTTTGAGGCAAAGCCTCTCTGGTTAAGTGAAATACAAAATATAAAAATTTTCTCTGTATAGGAGATACAATTAAAGTTCTAATAGAAAAGCTAAAATGTAAAAGTTGAACAAAAAAAGTTAAGTCAAATCTAAACAAAATAAACCATATAACAATATTAGTATCAAATAAAATTTAAATGCAAAAGAATTAAAAGGTGAAAAATTAATCAATACATACATATATCAAATGACACTTCATGATAATATTTTAAATTTTAAATACTGTGTTTTATTTGTTAAATTCTTTAAAACAATATAGAAAAATACCAAAACTCTGTGCTGTAAATAATAATTTTATTTCTAGCATTCAAGTATAAAAAGAAATAGAAATAAAAAGGGACACTGACACAAAGCAAACTAAATAGATATTTTAATTAATCACTGTCAAGATTAAGACGTGAACCACTGATTTGAACTATACAACCTATTAGAAAGAATAGATATATATAAATTCTGCATCTTTAATATCATCACTATTTGAGACTGTTACAAAAAGAGAGCCTTGAGTCATTAAAATTCTTATTAACTTTTTAAAAATTGTACAAGTGACAGGTTGTATTTACAATGCAATAAATCCAGGCCTGAATCATGTACTTTAATATCAGCAAAAAATAAATGAGGTTGCGTCAAAGAAGACATTAAAAAACTCTAATGCCACTACCAAAATAACAAGACTTAAGGGAAATAGGCCATTACAATGGAAGGCAAATTCATAGCTTTAAATGTTTTAGCACTTAAGAAAAGGTAATGAAGTAACTATTTTTTTATAGCTTTAAAAAAATACACCCAGTTAAGGGTAGGAAGTAGAAAATACGAAGCAGAAGTAAAGTAACAAAGGGCAGAAACAGAGAACTCATAAAATGCAACATGTAGTTCTTTCATATTAATAAAAAAAAAATCTCTAATATACTTTTTTTTTTACATCTCCAACTTTTATTGGCAAAGAGAGTAGCCATTTTCATAACAAAGCCTATCAGAAACATCCACCAGCTTTGCCCAATGTATTTTCATTACATTCAGAGTATGCAATACCTGATGCATACTCTATTCTAGTTGGTAAGGCATGTGTTGAACCTCATTATGGTACTGGGCCCAAAGCACAGAATGTTTCTCTTGGTTACCTTTTAATTATCTTGCCAGTTACCTTTTAATTATGAATCCGTACTAGCATATAAAGTGCTGCTTCTACATATTTGCCTGACTAATAAATGTACTTTAAAAGAGATAATAAATATACTTTAAAAAGAGATAAATCAAAAATAAGACTACAAGTAACAGAGATAAAGCACATGCTTGTATGTTTTTTTTTTTATTACTATCTTAAGGGAGGAAGTAACAAAATTAACAGACATGGAAAATCAAAACTAAAGTATGTACAAACTAACAACTAAGAAACAACCTGAAAATATCACCAAACTGTGAATAACTTCCCAGCCACTGCCATGAGTCCATTTCCAGTTCCCTTTTCTACTCAATTTTCAAATCATCCAAAGAATAGTTACCATATCACAGAGATCATTCCAGTATGGAAAAAAACACATTTTTTAAAATAGTGAATTGGTAAAACACACATAACACTGATATGAAATCAGACAGTATCACAAAATATGGACAAGAGATCTTAAGAGTTCAGGAAAAAAAAAATCTGATAAAATACCATAGAACAATAGAAAAGACTTGTATAACGTATCAAAAGTAGAATTCACCCTAGCAAGAAAAGTTTATCTCAGAAGTCAGCTCTTTAAAAAGAGATTTTGAGGTTTTAAGATTCTAATCTCCTGAGTAGATGGCAAAAGGCAGTCATATCAGTTGTTGTTGTTGTTGTTGTTATTGTTGTTGTTTTTAATGATGAAGACCATATTACATTTAATGGCATATAGCCCACGCTTATTGTGGACCAGTATCCATTACCTGATCCTACTTCTTTAACAAAGAACAAAACAAAAACAAAAAAACTATTAATGCAAGGTTTGTTCAAATTCTATTTAAAAATATTTTATAGTAATAGGTTTATATTAGTAAAGAAGATCAAAAATTATTGAGCCAAATCTCAGAATATTAAGTCAAATGACAAAAACAAACTTTAAGTAGAAAAAGAGGAAATGATAAATATAAGACCAGAAACTAACAAATAGGTAACAAAAATACAACAAAGAGAAAGCCAAAGGGTGGTTCTTTGAGAAGACTAGTAACACTGGCAAATCTCTAGCAAGCTGCATCAAGGGGGATGGGGGGAGGGGAACATGGGGGGAAAAAACACATAATCACTCTAAAAACTTTTCCTTTGTGTATGGGACCTCAAATATCTCCTACTACTAATTATCCCCTAGTAAGTTCAAATTCCCATTCTCCAAGATAACTATTTAAATCTTTCTTCTCCACAAATCCCTCTATCTTCTATGTACTTCCACTTCAGCCAATATTAAAGTGATGACTATGCTTCATATTTGAGAAAACAGAATCTATTAGACCCAACACTTTCCTATCACATCCCACTATAATACAAAAATCCATCTTCCTGCCTCCAGTTAAAATGGATGAAGTATCACTGATGTTACTTAAAACCAAAATAAACAAACAGCTACATATGCTAAATCACATCCCTTCTTGCCTCCAATTATGTCGTTCTCTGGAGCCTCATCCATCCCTCTAGACTCTGCATTCCCCACACCAGCCAACTGCTGCCCTATTTCGACATTCCTCTTCATTGTCAAGTGCTCCCAATGTTGCCAAGGCTCACAGTCTGTAATTAATTTCAATTCTAGTCAGTTCTTACTACTTTACTGAAACCCTTGCTATCATCTCCATGTGGCCAAATTCACTTTTTTGTACGATTCTACCTAGAATAATCAGCAACATATGACGTAGCTGACCACCCTTTCAGGAAATATTCTTTCTTGGCTTGGTTTTCCTCCTCTTATCAACAGACAGCTCTACTCTGTCACCCTTGACGGCGCCCCTCATGTGACCTCACGAATGCCTTAAGTTCCTTGGGATTCTGCTAGGAGCAGAATGTTCCACATCTGCCCTTCCTTCTTAGGCAACTTTACAGACTCTCATATGCAAAGAGCTAACCATTTAACACACATTATCTCATCCTCACAACCATGTGGGGTAGGAATTATACTTCCTAATTTTACAGATTAAGAAAGTGAGGCTCACAGATGATTACATACCTCATGCAGTGGCATAATTGGGACTGGCACCTATATCTGATTCTAAAAATGAGTTCTAACTCAGTATACTCTAATTTAAAGAATCTAAGCTATTAAGCATTTGAGCTAAAAAAAAAAAAAAAGAAACAAAAAGAGAGAGAGAGAGCGAAAAGAAAGAAAAAAGGTATTCTAACAATTTCATTTTGTTTACATACAACTAAAGGCTAAGAAAACAAGAGATAACAACAGAGCAATGTACATTTATTACTGCCTGTTCATGTAATCCTTAAAAAATTTATATACTTTTAATAAACACATTAATATGCTAAGTCTATAATACTGTTAAGTATCGGAGTCTATCTCTTTACTATAAGTAATACTTTTAATTTTTCTAATAGTCAACATCATATATTGTCTACATATTTATAGAAAAGTATGTGTCTGACACTAGTCAGAGACTAGTGTCTTAACTTGTAATCTAGAGTAAGCGTTGGACAGCTAGAGTTCATGGGTCAAATTCAACCCACACTCAATTTCTATAAATGATGTTTTACTGCAACACAACCATTTTACATATTGTCTGTGACCACTCTCGTGCTAAAACAGCAGAGGTCAATAGTCAAGAGATCACACAGCCTGGAAAGCCTAAAATATCTACTATCTGCCCCTTTACAGAAAAAATTTACCAACATCTGATCTCGAGTAATCCATCCTGTACAAACAAAAATACATGAATATATATTTTCAACACATGCTAATTTACAATAAAACCACCCAAAGTCATTTAGGTTCCAACAATACAACCTAGAAAATATGAGAAAGTTTACTTGTAAATCGAGTATCTACCTAACATTTTAAAATCATTCATGTAGTATTCTGCTACAGATCATTAATTTGTAATTTGCACCAAAGACAGTTTCTAAAAAATAAAAAAAAATGTTCATTCCTAAACATCTAAGAAAAACTAAGGCAGGAAGGAAAGGAAGGAGAGAAGGAAGAAAAAAGGAAACCAGAAATGTTCATTTTTTCCATGCTTAATTTCTGTGATTTTCTTTTTTAATTCCAATAGTCAGTTTATATATGACAACGTTGGAGCCTTTCCTGTATTATAATTGACCTGCAGAAATTTGCTGTCATCAGTAAGATAAGCTTAGTAAAGCTGAAGGATTTTCTAGCACAGTTCCCTACACAGTGGGCAGTCAATAAAGGTCTGCAGCAGTGAGCTGCCTCAGAAACAGAGTTTTTCGTTTTTAACTTTTAACACGACACACTACTCACTTGGCAAAATAATTAGTCAAGACCAAGAAGCCTCAGCATTTCGGGCTGAGATATATTATCTGAATATGTAACAGGTGAAGTAGCAAGAGGCTGAAAAATGACTCAACATCCCCCAAAACATCTCATTTAACAGGCTGCAAGTTTTAAGTCATTTTTAGTTTTGAAGTTTTATGGAACTCTCCCCATTTTACATTTCAAATTCCAAAGGTTAAAGGCAGCTGAGTCGTTACTGAAATTTCCCCTTTCAACTTTGACTACTATGAGCCTATACTGAGCGACAGCTGCCAAGAAGAGATGGAACTATGATGTTACCCAATTCAGGGAAATTGTTTTATGTTTCTGTTTTTAAATACTGGGTTTTTAAGGCCTGTTACATGACCTCTGCTTTATTGGCATGAGAGTAGGGAAGGCCAGGAAAAAAAAAAAAAAAATCCAGGGAATCAAATTTTTCCTCTTACCATAATTCTAAACCATCTTCCAGAAGATAAACATGTGGAGGCTGGGAAACATCTGTACTCAGTTGGATAACTGGGAGCAGGAAAGGGTACAGGTTCTTGCTGTCTGCTCCTAATCCCTGAGGGAAGTATAAATAAAACTTAACGTAAGACACTCTAAGATCCCACCCCCACCAAAAAATAACCTATCGTATAAAAATGTCCTAAAATAAGCTGATAAAAAATAAATCCATCAGATTTTCTGGGATGGTCCAAACTATAAGCACTACTAAAACAAGGTTAGTTCTGTTTACAATTGAACAGCAAGTAGCAAAAAAATACTATTCAATTGCCCAGGGGTAGTAGAATCATATACACCAATGGTATAAACATCTGTTTTAAGAGGTTCCATATGTATCTTCCCCTCTGACTACTAAAGTGGTACTAACACTGCTATATTAAATTCCATAAATTATCTCACCTAAGTAATCTAAAATGAACCCAATCAAAATGTTCATTAGTAAGATAATTGCATCATAGTACATTCATATTCCAGAATAGTGACTAGCCAATGAAAAAGTATTAGGCATGGAATAAAAACAATCTCAAAAATAATTACAAACTGGATTTAAAAGATGAAGAAGTGTGTATATAATAACTGCAAAAACCCAAGAATTTTTAAACACACCTACCACATGCAAAGAGATACACACATAAAAATGTTTCTTTGGAGTATACAGAAAAAATTAACACGAATTAAATACAGGAACGGGGAAAGGATGCTGAAAGAATGTAAAAATTATTTTTTTCTTAAGCTTTGTTTTAAAAAAATGCACAAAACTTTTTTAATGAACAATTTTTGCTAATATTTTTAATGACCCAAAAAATGGAGGAAGAAGAGGGGGGTTTATCTAAAATTCTAGTTTACCTAATTATTGTTTTATGGAGATTGACTCAGTGTATCACACTAAGTCCAAGCACTCTGAAAGGAAACATAAAGGATAAGAAGCCAATTTTTAATCCATAATAATCTCTGTAATCTGACTAACACAGAAAGGAAACCAATAAATATCAAACATCTCCTCATTTAGGAAGTAATTCAAATATCAATAGCTAAACAAAATCTATTAAGCAAAACAAAATCTGTATGTATACATCTTCTGTTAAGCAAAACAAAATCTTTATGTATACATCTTCTGATGCCATATATATACTGAGTTCAATCTTTATTAGTGGGACAAATACCTAAATGGAAATGCATAAAGCTTATCCTTAAGTAAGTTTGGTTCTTTCTAAAACTAAAAATCAGTTGAAAGACCTTATTAAAGATCTTTTTAAAGGAAGATAGTTATTAAAATGTCACACTTAATAAAGTAGTACACTGTGTCTTAAAATGAAGTTCAATTTCACTCTCTGTAGTTCAATCTTTAATACAACAACAAAAGAAAAGGAACATTAAGATAAACTAGTCAAGTTCGTTTTGATTATTAAGCAGACTTAAAATTTCCTAGAAAAATTAAAATCTATCTACTTACTTAGTGCACATCCCAAGAAGCATGAGATGCTAGCTTTCGCAAAACTAAAGCCTCTGCTAAACATGTAAGACTCTCGGTCAAATCCTGAAGACATTTACCTTTGTAGTCTAATGGCCTGAAGAATGTGTGCAATCCCAGATATACAACTTTAAATAAATGTGAACATTCTCTCGGCCCACAGTCATAACTGCAAGACATTGTCTACAACATTATGAAAAAATCACAGTAACACTTTTTCTACAACAGTATGAAAGCTCAAAATTAAATTCATTAGTTATTAAAATGATCAGAAATCCTTCAAGAGGCAGAAATCTTATTGTATAATAATTACATAACACAGAAGGGAAAATGAGGTGAAGGGTACTCTGCACTATCTTTGCAACAGTCAGTGAATTTATAAGGTTATTATTATTTTTTAGGTTAAGGGAAAAAAAGAATAAAACCCCCTAAATATTGGCATTTCACAGGATAACGTATTGGACTGCCTTCTCCTGTGTCATGTGCATGCGGAAAATGTCCCAAAATATTATCTCCAAACACAGATCTCTGAACTCCAGACACTGAATAAGTACAGGACATCATCACCCAGAAGTCATCTCAAACTCTTAAGGTGACCACTGAACCAATTCACTGTCTTCCTAAAAAAAAGCTCCTGTCCGGCCTTTCCAAACTCAAGTGACCTGTACGACTACCTATTTAGTGGTAAACAGTCTCACATCCTCCTCCTAGTTCCTGTTCCTACTCACCCCACATCTCAACAATCCTTTATTCTACTATTTTTCAAATCTTTCCCCTTCTTTCCATGCATTTTACTTCAGATCTGCATCATCTATTTTCATGGTTAACAGAAAACGTACCAACCACTTTCCCTGACCTTAGTTTTACTCCATTCCAAACCCTGTCTCCACTGGCACCCTGATTACCTTACTAAAATAAAAATGTTAATACTTCTTGCTCTGAACTTGAAGAGATGTTCTTGTGGCCTTCCTGACCAGGCCCCTATAACCATGTTCTGTACTATGCTCCGGCCACACCATACAACTCAGTATTATCAATCACAATGTTAAAATCTGGAGGAAGCAGACAGATTTAACGCATGCATTTACTACTCTTCTCTGCCAGGATCCACTTAAAGAATATAGGAGGATGTGTTTAAAAGATCCATAACCATAAATACAAAGATAACGTAAGAAAAGATAAGGACTGAAAAGACAAGCAGTAACTTAGCAAACTTGGAAAACCAAGCTCAAAGCCAGCTGTAAGAAAAGGTCAAGAAGCAACTTGATTTACATCACAGAAACTCCAAAAGACACAGGAACTGGTAGCACCAGGTACTTTGGGAAGAGTGACGTTCAAGGTCAGGTATTAAAACTAAGAGGGCCTCTAGAGTTTTACAAAGCAGCATGATGCCAATATCTCATCCAAGTCCACAAACAAGTGGTCCCGTTTGATTCTCTGATAACGTAAAACAAATTATCTCAAGACAAGGAGATACCCGGTAATGAAAAGCAGGGATACATTAAAAAAAAGGGAGATGTAACACGCAAGAGACAGGAAAATGAAAGATCTTTTACTAAGAAAAGACATCAAAAACAAGGATGGTTCCCCTACAAAACTACCCAGCTAGATTATACCCACAAGGAAAAATGCGCAATTTACTACTGTAAATGTAAGTTCCCCATACATTTTCTACTCTCTCCATTAGCGTTTTTGTTTTTTTTGTTTGTTTTTTTAAGTAGGCTTCTGGTCCAGCCTGGAGCCCAATGCAGGGCATGAACTCATGACCCGGAGATCAAGACCTGAGCTGAGATCAAGAGTCAGACACTTAACCAACTGAGCCACACAGGAACCCCCCAATTAGCTTTTTAGTGCCCTAAATTTATGTTGACAAAATGTTGATGATTCTTGAAGTTGGGTGATAGTTACCTAAAGACTGATTATATTGTTCTTCCTTTTGTGTATGCTTCAAATTTTTCACAACTTAAAAAATAATAACAAAAGCAGGCAATCAAGGATCAAGAGATGATCTCTTCAATCAGAGACTACTAGTCTGGGTTCTCAGAGCTTAAAAAATGAAAACAAAAACATACAAATAAACTATTATCTCCCTCTCAAATCTGAAAAGCCCAAAGATGGCAGTGTTTTCTATAAAGTGAACCTTAACAGTAACCCTTAGTATAATTTTCTCAAATGACTGAAAAACACATTTTAAGCTATAGTCTCAACTTTATATTAAACGTCGTATGCTTTCTCCAAGAAGGCGATGAGCACTTGGCTGGAACCCTGCACCTCTGGCCTAAACAAATACAGAGGGCAAAAGGGTCACAAAGGAAGGAAAAGGCCCTATCCTCTCCAAACATTCCGAGCAGGTTACTGTGGCTTCCTCAGACTTCCTGAGGTAATCCTACCTAAGGAGACAGAGAAGCTGGGTTTTTTCACACCTCCCTCACAAAACTCTCAAAAGGAGTCTAATAAGAACACATTTTGGCAAAGATGTAACACAAAAGAGGTGGGATCACAGTTTGTTCTGTTATTTCTGAGGGCAATCTCAGGACAGTCAGTAACCTTCTCCTAACCTTTGTACCCTTTTCTATAAAAGGGACATAATCTTCGCAAGAGATCACAACAATTAAATAGTAGATAAGAAGAGATGCTACATGAGACATTAAAAAGAAGGTGTTTTACAGGAATTTTGTATCACTATTCATTTATTTGAAACTGCCTTAGGTAGGATTTTTTAACTATAAAACTTGTCCGTAAGGTTTACTGAAAGAAAAAAAATTGCATTTCAAAAAAAGGATGTCTGAGAAAGGTTTTTTAAAAACTCGTGTTCACGTGTTTTTCCCTCCCCTATTTTTAACTTATTCAAAAAATGGAGAGTGGTAACTATCAACTTAGAGCTCTCTCCATTGGACAATCTATCACAATTTGGGACAAGGCCAGTAAAACTCAGTTGAGCATACCTGGATGCAGATATTAGATTTGGCATTAAAATCTTACCTTTCTGTCCTCTCGCCGTCAGACTGTAAGTCACTGTAATAGTTCAAATGACAACTACAGCCTGTTCATCACTCTCTGAAATCTGAGATTCTTCTCTACCTGCTGCACAACCCTGACACCTCAAAGTCACGAGGACGAAAACCATATTCACTCCTTCCCTCAAAAGTAACTCACCTGATTGTCTACCTTCTCAATTTATGAAAAAGTAAAATTTTGATGTTAGATCACAAAAAAAGGGTGAAAATGAAGAGCAAATTTATACAGAAAAGCTCTGGATACCAAGCAAAGTGCATGGAAAGTATAACAGACTGAACAAATCATGAGTCTATCACCATGAGAGACCACTTCATCTAATGAATGAAACGTCTTTAAAAAGGAGAGAGTATTTCCTACATGTCAAAAAATGTCCAAAGCCAACACACAAAAGTAGTTTTTAAAACTGTTTAAGATAATTCATGAAAAAGACATAACTGGGAGGCCTTTCACTACCATTAAAATAAAGCACATGAAAACAATGAAAAATTTGTAAAAAGAAAAAAAAAAAGCAAAAACCCAGAATCTTAAGCACAGAGAACTGGTGATGGCCAGAGGGGAGGTGAGGGAGAGGATCGGTGAAATATAAAAAAGGGATTAACGGGTACAAAACTCCATTTATATAATAAATAGGCCTCAGAGATGAGAAGTACAGCACAGGGAATACAGTCAATAATACTCTAATAACATTGTATGGTGACAAGGGGCATCTACATCCCTTGTGGTGAACACTGAGTAACGTACAGGACAGTCCGATCAACTGTTGTACAGATGGAGCTAACAGAACACTGTATGTTAATCAGACTTCAATAAAAAAAAGAAATATACTAAATTCAGAAACTGGAAAGTAACTTACCTGAACAAGATGAATAAGTGTTGTCAGAATAGCACATCTCAACATATTGTGTTCTTCGCTCTGCTTCCAAAGAAGAGGCAAATACTGTACCAAACATCCTACATACGGTCGTATCTATCACAACAGAAGGAAGGGAAGCAAAAGGACTGTATTAGGAAAGAAGGCAATTTCCTTCAAGACACAATGACAGAACATTAAGTCCCAGGAAGGAAATATTTAATATTTTCTAGACGAAATATATTATGTATGTATCTTTTTAAAAATAAATCAGAGACATAAAGCTCTACGGTTATTATTTTTCAAGAATTTAAAATAAGTACCAAATTTACTGCATGAAATAAAATTTAGGAAAGCAACATAATGTAACCAGTTATCGAGAATTTAACAGAAAACGTTATTATACCCTAGTTCTTTTTTAATAAAACAGCTTACCTAACTGGAAATTACACTGTTTTAAAAAGTCAGCATTTACTCATACATTCAACAATTATCTGATGGCATCCTCCAGTAACAGGCCCTGAGGACAAGGCACCAGAAAGAAAAGAATGTAAAGGTACACTTACAAACCCTTACAACGAAAAAAGATAAGTATAATGATAAAGGTGTACAGGAGGTATAATGAAAACACAGAAGAAAATCCTTTAAAAAAAATTTTTTTTAATGTTTATTTATTTTTGAGAGAGAGAAAGAGACAAAAATCAGAGTGTCAGTGAGCAGGGCAGGGGCAAAGAGAGAGGGAGACACAGAGTGTGAAGCAGGCTCCAGGCTCTGAGCTGTGAGTACAGAGCCTGATTCGGGGCTCAAACTCACAAACCATGAGATCATGATCTGAGCTGAAGTCAGACGCTTAACTGACTGAGCCACCCAGGCATCCCAAGAAAATCCTTCTTAAAAGATATGATTCTTAAAACCACATGGATTAAGCTAACCAGTTTTAAAAATTAAAAATAAAAATATTTCTTTAAAAATAAGCCCTGAGAGACAGCACAGCTTGACAGTGAGTTTCTTAAAAAATAAAAGGGATCTACACTGAAGCTGGACCGCGCTCCAATGTCTCGGTTGCTTTATGGTCATTGTATTGGGAATTGCTCTGATGAAGAGTAGGCTTCATGACAAACAGAAATACTAGACCTTCACAACTTCAGCAATAGCTATTTCAATCCCACGTATTAAAACTAAAAATTACTCCCAGAAAAATGAGATTCCCATTTTTGCTTACAAAATGCCACACACTAAACAGGGAGCAAAAAAGGTGTAGAATCTGTTGCCCTTGAGGATGCGAGGAAGGTTACAAAAGACAAGTTAAGTATTTGCCCAAATATTTAAGCAAAATAAAACTGAAAAAATATTACAAGCCTATTTATTATATATCACCTTATCTTCAAATTTTTAATTACACTATTATTTATCGAGCACTTAATCTTGCTAAGTGTTCTTTATCTCAGAGATCACTCCAATTAGCTTATAAAACAGACCAACTAGTATGTAAAAACACAGGTTTTAAAGTACCTAGCTCATTCATACTTAACTGAAAACAATGTATAACAGCATGTTCTACTGACATGGAAAATAAACCAATTTTGGTTTTAATATTCAAGTGAGAACACTTTCCAAGGAGGGGCACAAAGGGAGTACATTCGAAAGTCAGAAAATATTTACATCCCAAACGTAGCTGTACACTGGAATTGATGATATTCTAAATTTAAATTATTGCTTCAAAGATGAATTTCAATAAGCACCCAGAGTTACTGTTGCAAAAGATAGCCCCCCAAAACAAGGGTGCAGAGCGGGAGATCAAAAAACAGTGAGGGGGCGCCTGGGTGGCTCAGTAGGTTAGGCATCCCACTCTTGATTTCAGCTCAGGCATGATCTCACAATTTATCCCATGTTCTGGGCACTGACAGCACAGAACCTGCTTGGGATTCTCTCGCTGTTCCCGCGGGGGAGCGGGGGCCGAGTCGCGGTCGGTCTCAAAATAAATAAAATAAATAAACCTTAAGAAAAGAGAGGGAGAACATGAGAGCCAAATATGTTCCCTGAGGCTGAAAGGGAGGAGGTTAAAAAGTATGCTATTGGGAAAACTGAGAAAATCTTATATGGACTTGATATTAGATAACAATATTACATTAATATAAGTTTCCCGAGTCTAACCATGGTTATGTTAAGAAGAGAAGTCTAATATTCTGGGACAAAGTGCCATGATGCTTGAAACTAAAGTTCAAAGAGTTTAACAACAAGAATTTGTATATGCACACAGATTAAAAAAAGAGAAAATTCAGTAAAAATTAAAACCTGAAAGAACTAGGTGAAGGATATATGGGTGTGGATGTCTTGTAACTTTTCTGTACATTCAAAATATTTCAATGAAAAGACTTAAGGAAAAATATTGCTCATATACAATCCTGAAAATGATTACCATCTATGGGCTATTTTGGTAGGCCAATATCAATTATTTGGTCAACACCTAAAAAATCACATGGAATTAGCAATGTTTACTAGACACTGGGCTAAATAACAACCCTATAAAACATTAAACTATCAGCTTAACACAAATGACATGAAAAAGTACACCAAATACACTCATCTTTTGGCACCTATACTCAAAAAGAAAAGAAAATAGAATATGAGTTAAGTCATCATCATATACAGGGAGGTATCCACTTTCCTTCATAACACATTACTGAAAATCAAGTATGTGACAGCCTAAGAAATGTTCTAAGAAGGTTTTCCATACATGGGGACTTTAAAAAGTAAGTACCAATGACACGTCTTTTAGATATAATTTTCATAAAATATTTAATATTTCACACAGGCCCTTTAATTTTGTTCTTTTTCTTGAGAAATGCAGAAGTTCAAAGACTATCTGCCTGACATCCAAACCTGATGATTACCTATTTCTTCTATGTATTTACTGGATTGCCGCAATGGAATAATTTATCAATTACTTTTTCAAAAAGTAGAGAAAATATAATCTTTAAATAATTGTACATTATATTATAAAAATGGTGACACTTCACTGAATCTTCAAAATTAAACCATTATGTGTTATCTTACTGTTTTTTGTAAGATGGCTCAAACTGTCTGTAACCCAAGGGGCAAAAATCAAATTTAGCCTATGAAAGACAGGTGAATGATATATAAGCAGTAGGACTGTTCAAAGGTTAACACAGGAAATTTAAAGAATCAGATGCCTGAAAATACTATTCATGATGATTTCCTGATTTCTGAAAACACAAAATACTACTGGATTAACTCTATCTTACTATTTACTGGTGACACAGTCACCTGAGTTGCTTAGCTATCTGTGTTCTAAAAAGTGCATATGGATAAAAACACAAAAGCACTTTTAAAATTACTAAGCATGAGGGGACACCTGGGTAGCTCAGTCAGTTTAGTGTCCAACTCTTGGTTTCATCTCAGGTCATAATCTCACGGTCCACGGGTTCAAGCCCCACGTTAGGCTCAGCAGTGACAGTACAGAGCCTGACAGGGATTCTCTCTCTCCTACCCTCTGCCATTCCCCCACACTTGCGCACACACAAGCACACACTCTCTGTCTCAAAAAAAAATAAATAAATTTTATTTATAAATATAAATATAAATATAAATATTTATATTTTAATAAATTATAATAAATATTTATAATTTATTTATAAATAAATTAATTAAATTTAAATAAACTTTAAATTTTACTAAGCATGAGGAATTTCAACCTAGGATTAAAAAGATTTAGAGATTCGGGAGGATGTAGGTAAGAAAATTCATTTCCACAGAAAGAAATCTTTAATACGTTTCCATTAGCCAGATGGTATCTAAATAAGATTACAAAAAATGGTCACATCTTGTTTCTACAATTTTTTAATGAACAATAATTTACTGCATTTGTATAATGATCTAAAGCATACTACACATGTGTAATAATTTCATACTTAAGACACCTGTGAGTCAAGTGATTTCAGAATTATCTTTATTATTTTAGACACAATGGAGCACCTGGGTGGCTCGACTAGTTAAACATCTGACTTCAGCTCAGATTATTATCTCACCACTGCATGAGTTATTATCTCACCACTCCATGAATTCAGGCCCCATATCAGACTCTGTGCTGACAGCTCAGAGCCTGGAGCCTGCCTCAGATTCTGTGTTTCCCTCTCTCTCTACCCCTCCCCTGAGCGCATGTGCGCACTCTCTCTCTCTCTCTAATAAACATTAAAAAATATATATATATACACATAAGGACACAAACTTAAAGACCTTACCCAAACGACACAGGAGACACAAGCACTTGAAAGGAGTTTAAAAGAGTCTCAATTAACTATCTGGATGATCAAAATCTCTCAATATTCTTCATAAACAAGTATCAAAATGAAATAACGTAACTAATGTAGTAAGAATCCCAAACACTAAGGAAATTGTAAGGTAACACTATTTTTAGACACTCGAACCGAGATCGGCTCAAAGTGATTAACAGTGACTCAAAACTGCCGCTGGAGGTGCATGCTGACTGTGAAGGCTGGTAATACCACCAAGATGTATGTACTTTGACAAGTTCCTTAAAATCTCAACCTGTTCGAGATGATAAATTCCAACCCTCACCCAAAGGTTTTTGTGAGGATTAAATGAGAAATATATGCAAATTATTTAGCACGGAAGTTGGTAACTTAGTATTATTCAGTAATTGATAGCAATTCTCATCAATTACTTTAGAACAAGCTCAAGCAATGAGAACTCACTAAAAGACACAGGAACAAACTCCAAATGTGGACATGAATTCAGCTATCTTTCGCTAGTAACTCACAGATTTACTTCAGTACTTTTCGAACAAGGATATGGTAATCTGGTAATACCACCAAGATGTATGTACTTTGTCAAGTTCCTTAAAATCTCAACCTGTTCGAGATGATAAATTCCAACCCTCACCCAAAGGTTCTTGTGAGGATTAAATGAGAAATATATGCAAATTATTTAGCACGGAAGTTGGTAACTTAGTATTATTCAGTAATTGATAGCAATTCTCATCAATTACTTTAGAACAAGCTCAAGCAATCAGAACTCACTAAAAGACACAGCAACAAACTCCAAATCTGGGGACATGAATTCAGTTATCTTTCCCTAGTAACTCACAGATTTACTTGAGTACTTTTCGAACAAGGATATGGAGTGGTGAACTAGGATATGAGAAACCACAAGGGTAATTAATTATAAGGTAGTTTCTTGGATTATTAGTTTTTCACACAAATTAGGAGACATAGGGAAGCTGAATAACTAACTTAATATTTAATATCTGTTGAGAACTTTACATATCATTTTTATATTAAGCTAAACATGGACATATGTGGACCAAACTGCAAAACACATTTAATTTTGAAGGTAAATATAACCGACCTCTGAAAATAGCTGCATTTGCTGACACACTTGTGGCTATGTCCTCAAACACACTGAATTTTAAGAAGTATTATTAAATATAAACTGGTTCTACTAAGACAGATAAAATTCTGCATTCTGAACCCCTCTACATTACTGATCCCATTTTAAAATTTTTTAATTTTAGATTTTAATATTCTCAAGTTATTTTTTTAAAATGCGAGTACACATGTCAATATAAGCGAAATCACAACCGTATAGGTTATAAGCATTTTAATGTGTTAACTTTTAAACAATGTAGATAAAGCAAAGCTATTACTGCAATCCTACATATACTCCACTCACCTGACATTGAATGTTTTACAACAAAATTACCTGTATATTTACTCTTTCAATCACACAGGAAAGGACATGCAAAACATGCATCTTTGTGTCACATTCTGTAACTTGCTGCAGCAGCTGAAAAAGTAGTGTGAACATGGTTTCCAAATACTGCAGGTAAACAGAAAAAAAACAAAGGGTCATAAGAGAAATAGAAATATCTTCACAAACTGAAATAACAAAATTAAACCATAATGTCAAAGCAATAAATAAGAGATTAGCAACCAGAACTCCAGCATTACCTAAAGAAAGCTGAAATTGTTCAAGTTGCCAACGTTTAGGAATCGCATTCTTTTTTTTGGTGGGGGGGGGGGATTTTCTTTTTTTTATTGTTCCTTAATTGGTCCATTTTAGAATTAAACTCATCCACAAAGTGAATCATGTTTTCAGTGGAAAACCGTGTCTAAATTTTGCGTTTAAATTTTATACCGCTAAACTAAGCTGCTAACGTTGTCTGGTCAGTGTCCTGGTGTGCCTGTTGCCAATCACAAGATACTTTGTTTTGCAAAGTCTACTCATTAAAACAAAAGAAATACCAATAAGTATACTCGCATACCAGCTCTCTGATGTGGCCCTTAAGATATGCTGCATGGAGATCTCACTTTCCATAGATTTATATCTGTTATTCAAAGAATGACCGAATATTTATTATTAGGAAATAGGAAACAAATATCCATGTCTGGCTGTTAACGCCTAGATTACAAAATGACAGTAGGGATTCATAGGTCACAGAATGCCAGATACTTAAATAAAACACACATCTGATCTTTCAGATAGTTCATTTTTTTTTTTTCAACGTTTATTTATTTTTGGGACAGAGAGAGACAGAGCATGAACGGGGGAGGGGCAGAGAGAGAGGGAGACATAGAATCGGAAACAGGCTCCAGGCTCTGAGCCATCAGCCCAGAGCCCGACGCGGGGCTCGAACTCACCGACAGCGAGATCGTGACCTGGCTGAAGTCGGACGCTTAACCGACTGCGCCACCCAGGCGCCCCAGATAGTTCATTTTTAAGCAGATTTCTAAAACATATTTATTTCATCCCAAAATATCTAATGATTCTTTTCCTAATGAAAATCCTCTCTACAAGTTTGTCCATGTACGACCTCCACAAGAAGTACACACAGACACTTTATCATGTAACTTTCTTCTTGCCTAGTCTTCCTAAGAATAAATACTACTGCCATAGTCTTATTAACATATTTAACAAGTGCTTACTGAGTACCTGTTAAGTGAAACACCATGTGGGCTTCTGGGAATTAAATGAAGAATAAAAAGATGACCCAGTAGGACTTGGTGTTCTACTATTCAAGTAATTTACAATCTAATGCAGGATACAGGCATATATACACAAAGAAATAGTTGAGGACTATAAGTAACAGACACAGATAAAACGAAGTTACTAGATGTTTTGTAATTGGAAAAAAGGTAAAAAAAAAAAAAAAAAAAAATTTTAAAAATTAACTACAAAAAAATTAAAATAAAAAAAAAAAAAAAAAAAAAAAAAAGCAGAATATAAATAAAGTTATGAATTAAAAAATTACCAATAAAGGTAGTAAACTTCTAAAATCATCTTAATGTACTTTTAAATTTGGCTTCAATAAGTATCACATACATATAATTTCATTTATAAAATAACACTTAATTTGCAAAAGACATAGCAGATTGTGATTAATCTTAAAAATATTCTCACCGGCAGAAACTGATCTGTTCTAAATTCAAAATCATCAACAGGTAAAAAGCAGTTAAGGAATACTGAGAATGTATGAGGTTAATCAGAATAAAATAGATCTAAAACCCAAATATAATAATCAAAAACTATATTTTAAGCGATCTAACAAATTTCGCAAAAAAAGTTACTTAAAAGTGTTAAAATTCTTCACAATGAAGTATTTTTTTATTTTAAAGATTTTATTTTTAAGTAATCTCTACACCCAACATGGGACTGGAACTCACAACCCTGAGATCAAAAGTCACACACTCCACTGTCTGAGCCAGCCAGGCACCCCATCACAATGAAGTATTTTTAAATTCTTTAAAGGATATTTAACTTCAGTGTTGTTGCTGTTTCGATACGGACCTAAAAGAAAGTGCATCATGAGATTTTAATAATTCTGAAGCTACTAAATATCATTAATATCAAATGGCAGGAAATTTATTCCAAATCACTTTTACTTTTTGCTAATATTAAAGTCAGAGAGGTTATTAACATCTGGAAATAAAAGAATATTCCTCTTATTTTGCAACAAGACTTGAAAAAGTCAACTAGTGTCCATTCCCACCCTTCTCAGTTTCTCATAATTTGTTTCAACAGTCTTTAATCCAGGGGGTGCTTCCAGGAAAATGGATAATTTGCCCTAAGTGTGAGACAAGGGTGGGACTAAGAGAAGAATACAAAGGTGCTGCCACACAGGGAGAGAAGGCTGAGATCACAGATGAGAGACAGGCAAATGGGTGAGGCTGGTGAAGCTGGCAGATGTTTGGTGAAGAGGGAGGGAGGAGAAAATGGAAAGAGGAGGCAGAAGGAAGAACACACATTCCCATCTGCAACCACAATTACAGGAAATCCGTGAAATATCCAAAGATCTATTTTGAGATTTTCTAAATTCCAAAGTTCACAAATACACAAAGATTTGTACAGGTTCCTGACACTTCCAAATCTTAATTTGTGTGTCAGCATGTTATCTGGGCAAATCACACCACAAAAGCATCATCCCTATCGCTCTCTTTCAAGGGTTATCTGGGATTTGGTCAGCTAAACTGGCACAGGCTACGATACCCAGAGTTTCCACAAAACATAACATGAACTCAAGCCATGACTAAATTCTATATCTAGTTAAATGTTTCAACTAAAGGAAAGAAATTCACTCAATATGCATTATACTCCCCCAGATCAAATGACAATGTCAAAATGTCAGGCAACTATCAGAGATAGAAATGTACTCCACCCAGTGGCCTTGGATACTATAAAATTTATGGAGTCCTATTTGAGAAGTTGCTTTCTCCAGTAACTGCATTATATATTTTTTTAAAGATTTAGCCTTTTTAAAACTCAGTTATTCATTCATTTATTTATTAATTTTGGGGGAGGGGCACAAGTAAACAAGGGGCAGAGAGAGAGAGAGAGGATTCCATACAGGTTCCACATTGTCCACGTAGAACTCGAAGTGGCTCGAGCTTGCCCGAAATGTGGCTTGACTGAACTCATGGACCGTGAGATCATGACCGGAGCCAAAGTCAGATGCTTAATTGACTGAGCCACCCAGGTGCCCCCGGTGCACCTGTACTATCTCTACTCTGTTGCAGCCAGTCTTGTGATGATGTGGTTATAAGATTAGGAAGCCACATAGATAACCATACTTGCTCAGGATTAAATCTATCCCAACCCGGTAAAAGCACTCAAGCAAGATAATGTAGATTATGAAAGCCAGAGAACATTTAGATTCAGCAGTATCTATGTAAGCACATGCATATATACACACATGAACACATCTATACGTATGTACATACTACGTGTTTGTATACTGCCGTGTACATAAATATGTGTATAAAGTATCCTCCCACATTAGCCAGCATTTCTCACAAGTTGAAATTAAAGATCTTATATACACTAGAAGGCCAAAGTGTGCAACCTTAACTTGGTACCTTACTAAACAAAGTCTTAAGAAGTATCAACAAAATATCGGTGGCAGGATCAAACAAGTGTAGAAGGTTTAAAACTGAGATGAAATCACCAGAAGATACACAGGAAAAGGGCAAAAGCTGAACCTACAGCAGCATTCCCTCTAAGAGTATTCCTTAGATATTAGTGTATATGTCATCTTGGATAGTCACTATTCAAATGTATGTTTCAAAGGTTCTCCTCAGTCCTAAAGCAAAGAGGACTACTGGAATATTTAGCCCAGTGTTTTCCAAACTTATCCAGCCATGAAACCCTTTTTCTCCAGTAATACTTACTGGGATGTAATTAATGTTCCACTCTTAAAGTGCAGAATTAAATTTCTCTTATTTCTTTCTGAACAGATACCTCAAAAATGAGTAAAAGATTCAAAAAATTTCTCGATTTCCCTAAGAAAACTTAAGTGAAATTTAATCCTTTTGTAACACTTTCATAAAACATTTAAGGTCTTCTGTCTGATACCTCTGAGAAAAGAGCAAATGTTTCCAACTGGGCAAAGAAAAACTTAAACCTATAAATACTTTAAAGGTATTACAAAAGTAAACTCATTCCAGCAAACAGTAATCTAAACAGTTTTATTAATAAACTTTTAAGAATTTAGACATGGTAAAATATAACTGGATTCCCTTGTAACTTCCCATGTTTAAACTATTTAATAGTTACAGCATTATATTTAGAGTAAATTCCCAACTATTTACACAAAGTAGATAATGGCCAAGTGAAAATCCAAATAACAGTTCTATCTGCCTTTGGAATACACTGAGCTTCTACAATGGGTTTATTTATTTATTTATTTATTTTTAATTGGGAGAGCAATAGAGAAAGAGAGAATCTTAAGCAGGCTCCACACACAGTGCAGAGCCCAATCCGGGGCTTGATCCCACAACACTGGGTTCATGGCCTGAGCTGAAACCAAGAGCTGGATGCTCACCCGACTGAGCCACCCAGGAGTGCCGACAGGTTTATCTTTCTAATTATGTTTTCCTTCACAGAACATTATTTTTCTGACCCTCTCTGACTCTTCAAAAAAATATATATATATTATATATATATATTATGTCAACACTTATTATAAAGGAAACAATTCCAATGGCTAAAACACACACACACACACCCCCCAGAGAAAGTAGCTTATGTACACACGTGGAAATGAGAAAAGGATGGCCCAAGCTTTTGCTGAAAAACAGGCTAGAATGGGTTCAAAAAATTTTTTAAAGGAGTATACTGAGAAATGATTAAACAAGACCTCAGCCTAATTCGGGGGCAGAAAAAAAAATCACATATTTTTACATAAAAATAACTTGAAACTGAGGAAAAGACCACTAGACTCCATCTTTTCAAGACTATGCTAGGGTCCAGTCTAAGCCCAACACAAGGAATATGTACAGTAAGTCATGAATATATTCACTCAGGAATAAAATAAAGCCTCGCTCTGAGTGAGCCTCTCTTCTCTTCCTTTCTCTCTGACCCTCATGGGATTCTCTCTCTCCCTCTCTGCCCTTTGCCCACTTGTGCCCTCTCTGACTCTACCAAAAAAAAGAATATTATGTCAACACTTATTATAAAGGAAACAATTCCAAAGGCTAAAACACACACACACACACCAAAAATCCCTTCAAAAATGAGAGACAAAGAAAAAATTAACAGTCAAGATGAACTAGATGGTAGTACCTCAAGTATGAGAATGACAAAATCCATACTGAATAAGAAAAAAAAAATATGTAAGCTAAAAAAAAAATCTTTAAAAAAAATGTCACCTGACTCTACAAAACTAGAGTTTAGTTAAATGTCTTTTCACTGACTCTTCATGATAAGGGTAAATAATAATCAAAGAACTTCCCTCCCTTAAATCAAACTGCTTGCCAAGGAATAACTACAAGAGTGAAAGGTTACCAACATACTAAATCTATAAACTATTCCTGAATATGAAGCTTAACATCAATTAAACTTATAAAAAATAGTCTTAAAACATTTAAGGAACATACCACTAAGTCTTGATCTTGAAGCAAGTTACAAATTGCCTCATATAACATGGGTCTTAAGTCAGACTTGAATTTCACAGAAATCCACTGACCGATGAGCCAAATCACCCTGCGTCGCAATGGCTTATATCTGAATAGGGAAAAATCATGAAATTAAAATGGTAAATATTCTACAAAGTATACTTCATTTAGTGTATTTTATCATTTAAATTTAAAATATAGTAAGGAAGCAATCTGTATTGTTTATATAAAAACTTAAAAGCCACTTCTAACTGTACCACAGTACACATACTACAAAACCACCTAAGCTCTCAAATTTAAGTATCCTATCATAGAATGTGACTCGTTATCAAAAATGAGATTTTTAAAGTTGTAAAACATTTTCAGTAACAATATACCCATTTCTTTCTCTATGATCGTCTTTTCTAAAGGAAATGAAGGCTATTTAAAGCAAGAAAAAAAGACCCACAAAGCTATAAACAATTATGTTTAAGAATTCTACCCATAAAGTCTCTTACTGATACTATATAAATTTTAGTGGTGAGATGATAACTGTTTTGTACATAAATGGAATAAGCTAATGAAGATTCCACATTTTTTAGAAAATTAGAAAATTTTAAGATGACCAAGCACATAGAAAGAAGTGCTCATTAAAGTTGAAAAATAGTTGTTTAAGTATTCCCTGCCCTCAAAACATTTACAACTCACCTAAAAGAATTAAAGAATGTAAAGCTATATACTAGGATTTCAGAAAAGGAAGAGAAAGGAGTGGGTGGGGGAAATGGGATTTGAATAGCCTTTAAGCTAAATAATACTTGGGTAGAAAATCGAGAAGATGCTATTTGAAGGGATGGGGACTGTTTAAACGAAGTCACAGAGGTGGAAGTAAACAAGACTTGTATACAGTGTAATGGAGGAACCATTGAACCATCAATTTTGAACTGAGATCTCCAAGACTGCTACAGTCAACATTCTATTCCGGATACAGAGAAGGAAGCTCAGAAAGTTCAAATTCTAAGTTCACTTAGATCACAGTCACTTCTGGGCAGAGTTAAAATTAGAAGTTAGTTTATTCCCCAAAATATGGTCCCTGGACCAGCAGCATCATTATCCTGGAAGCATGACAGAATCATACAATCTGACCCAGACCCTAAAATATAACCTGTATCAGGACGTGCATCTCAACAAGATCACCAACAGATTCATATGCATGTTTGAGAAATACTGGTCTAGATCAGCTCAGTCCAGAAGAAATATAATGTAAGCAAATATGTGATTTTACATTTTTTATTACCCCCATTAAAATAAGTAAAAAGTAAAATTTTCATATTTTTATGTATCTCAATATATCCAAAATACTATCATTTCAACATCAATACATATTTTACACTCCCCAGGTTTTCAATTTAAAGTCATTTCATCACTTTTATTAAATTCATTTCAACTACTCATTAGCCATATGTAGCAGGTACTGTACCTGACAACACAGATCTAGAGTAAATAGCCTCTAAGCTTTAAGGAAAATCAAAGCACACATGTGTCTTTCTACTGAAGGCTTTCTCTAGATCAAAGGTTCACTAACTTCCTGTGGGCAGAGTCACAATACATCTTACTCACCACACACTTTACGGGGCATAGCAAATTCATGGCAAACTGAAAATATTCAATGACTGAATAAATGATTAACTCAATCAATAAATAGCAACTTATTGGGCAAAATTACTTTTTTAAAAAAATGTTTATTTCTAGAGAAAGAGAAAGCGAAAGCAGGAAAGGAGCAGAGAGAGAGGATAGACAGAATCCCAAGCAGGCTCCATGCTGCCAGCACAGAGCCTGACTTGGGGCTTGGCTCGATCTCATGAACTGTGAGATCATGAGCTGAGCCAAAATCAACATGGAAGCCTTAACCGACTGAGCCACCCAGCCACCCATTGTCAAAATTACTTTTAAAGCATCTGCAACTCTACAGTTCTATGGCTCTCAAGATTTATAAAATGAGCCATACGTGGATGTCTTCATTCATTATTGTAGTTAAAAAACGCTATCTAAGACTACATGCGACACATTCTGATAGGCACCACATCTACAGAGATAAATCAGCAGAAGAAAAAAATTACAGAAACTATGAGAGTCCTTTTCCCTTACATTTAGGTCACTTGGTACCTAAAATCAAGTAGTCAAGTACTTAAATGCATATGAAACCTAAGAACTGGGAAAAGTCCTACTAAGTGTCAGAAAGGTCTGTCCTACTCAATGAGGCAACACAACACAGCCCTAAAGTGTGTCCAAATTCTTTCCGCCATGGTGTCCCTTCATCCTATCTACCCTCTTCCAGACTTGCAGCATGCTGTGTGGTCCCACGACAGTCACTTTTCAGGGCTACCCCTTGTGCTAGACTACTACTCACACCAGGCTCAGCTCATGCTAAGTATCCCACTGGCTTTCTTTTGTACACATTTTCTTCCTACATTTCAGCGACCTCCATCTTCCCTTACCTTTGCATAAAATTTCCTCCTGCAAAGTATCTTATCTAACAACAAACATTTCATACTTGTGACAATTCACATGTGAAGTAAAATAACATAAGTGTCTTTATTTTTCTTAGCTGTAAACAGCACGTCTTTTTTTATACTTGATACTACCAGCTAAGTCATACTATAACTTTTTAAAAATTTTATGCAATTTTAATGTCTTGTCTTCATCAGAAAATTAAAAAGTAAAATAAGTATATCATAAACACCAAATTTTATACTTGCCTATTGTGAATGACTTGTAATTCTGGAAGAAGTTGGTTTTTAAACCACTGATCAAAATCAACACTGTCAAACAGCTCATAAGCTGCTAATCCAACAGCATTATACACTACAAAGAAGATTTGAGAAAAAAAAATTTAATTTCAGATGCTGGGCCAAATGTCAAGTATCCTATGTAAGAAACTAATCCTTAGGAACTACTTTAAAACATGTAATATACTAATAAGGGAAAATTTACAATGTTAATCAGACAAATCACTTAAATAGCAATTTCAGAAAGATTAAAGTTTCTTTAGACACTTTTTCCTAAACAGCCCTTAGTGCTTTCAAACAGAAAATTGCATTCAATTAAAACTATTCAAATCAAATTATAAAAATTAAAAAGCAACATCTGCTTCCAAAGGGTCACAGTATTTTATGATCTGGTCCCTACATACCTACCTCTCTCCATCCTCATCTCTCAGCACAAACCGTTAGGCTTTATGTTCCGTTCTGTTTAAACCAAAACACTCCCGGCTCAAAACTTAACTGCATTTGCTCCCTTTCTCTTCAAGTTTGTGTACATACTGCTCCTTCTGCCTGGAACTCTCTTCTCACACAGGCCCCCCCTCCCCTTGCTAACTCCCACTGATCCTGGTGTTCTCACATCACACTTCTTTAGGAGCCCTTCCCTAGGCATACCAAAACTCCTTTTGGTTTTCCAATGTACTACTTAACTGCCACCTATTTTAGAATTAATCAACTCGTACTATGTTACAATCAACGGTCTGCTTATCTCCCCCACCACACAGTTCCTAAGTTGTAGGTACCCCTGTATCCCAACCTCCCAGAGTAACACCTGCCACAAACTAGACATACCAAATATTTATTACTCAAGAAATCAATGTTTTAAAATCACTTTAGTTTAACATACCAGCATCTTTGATTAATAGTGCATTCATGTCTTCCACATTAGTGGGCCCTGTAAAAATAAGTTTTAACAAGGGTAAATCACACTAATTTTTAAAAGATATTTGATTTCAACTCAATTTGTTAGTTTCCCATTTCAGTTAAGTACAAAAAATTTCATGATATTAAATATACATGGACATGTAAATGGAAAGCCTAAGTTTTGTAATCATCATGGAGAACACAGGTACAAGATGTAAAACCTTATTACAATTTTAAAAATCATTATAACATATTTGAAAAATGTTATGTCAGCAACATTCTAGCAAAGTATATGCCACAAATTGCTAACTAGCACATAATACATTATACCCTGATTAAAAAAAAAAACACCTCTTAAAAGAAAGAATAAAAAGATGAATCCCACAAAAAATAAATTTTTAAAAAGAACAAGCACAAGGGTACCTGGGTGGCTCAGTGGTTAAGCATCTGACTTCAGCTTAGGTCATGATCTCGCGGTTTGTGGATTCGAGCCCCCTATCGGGCTCTGTTCACAGCTCAGACAGAACCTGGAGCCTGCTTCAGATTCTGTGACTCCCTCTCTCTCTGTCCCTCCCCCACCCATACTCTATGTGTCTCTCTCTCAAAAAAATAAACATTAAAAAAAAAAAAAAAGCACAGGCTATTCACACAAGCATCTCGAAATATAAAAAATAAGTCAGATTATTACAGTGTATTAAAGGACGACAACACAACGAAAAGTGCCAACAGAAACAGGGAGCCATCATGTAAAGTGGAACCTTCAGAATAAAAAGGTGGCAGTCTCTGGGGCACCTGGGTGGCTCAGTCTTAAGGTTAAGCATCCAACTCGATTTCAGCTCAGGTCATGATCTCATGGTTTGTGAGTTGAAGCCCCACACTGAGCTCTGCACTGACAGCATGGCGCCCACTTGGAATTCTCTCTCTTCCCCTCGCTCTCCCTGCCCCTCCCCCACTCTCTCTCTCAAAATAAAAAAATAAGCATTAAAAAAATTTTTTAAAAGTTGGCAGTCTCACACTACTGTCCAGAAAGGAGTGTGTGATGGTTAAGCCATGAAAAGCAGTTTACTTAGTAAGTCTATTGCTCTAGGATACAAAGATTTTGAACAAGTTTATCAAAGCACTCTTCTGCTGTTAAGTATGAATTCTTAAGCTCAGCAGGCTAATACGCTGGAATAAATACAGCCCTAAATAAACAAACTGCTCCACAACTAGGAAGAAAACTAAACTTCGTAATCACTGAAAACCTTATAAGCACCCAACAACTTATCAGAGCATAACCTAAATAACTTATCCACTTTACTACAGTGGTTTAAACAAATAATAATAAATGCATGGGTGAAAATGGAAATGACATTCTCAACTCAACAAAAAAAAGTAACTTAAGCAGTCTAAATACCATCAAATTTAAGAATTTAGTTCATAACTATACCTTAGAAATCAATCCATACGAAAATACACTAACACACAAATTCAAAACCTGACTGATCGTGTTCTTGCTTAAATTATAAACCAAGGGAAAAAAACTATCTATTAGGTTTCTGAGAGAACAAAAGCATGAAAAGTGAGCTACTCTCGCACAACTACAAACAAGATCAGGCATCTCCTTCCCTATGGCAGCTTCTCTTGCTGTTATTTCCTTGTATCATCATCTACTCAATCCTTCATCCCTTACTATGTGATTCCTGCCCCAACAATTCAAATAATCTTTTGTCTCAGGGGATTTTACTGCCTTCTGTCTCTTCCATCACTGGACACTTCTAGTAACATGCTCTTCTACCCAGGATTCACCCCCATACCATTTCTTACATCTTTGCATTAGTTTTTTACCTGGCTTTTTTTGTAGGACCTTCACCTCTTCCTATGCTTAAAGGTGAAAATCTCAGCGTTCAGTCTTTGAACTTGTTTTTCTTCTCCCAAGCCTCCTTATACACACACTCCAAAAGGAAAACTCTATCTCCAACCACTACTAACAACTGTCTCCCTGTCATTAAGATTCTAAAGTTCAGGATCATGTCTGATCACTTTCCCTTGCTCAGTAGTCAATTAGGTGCCAAAAGTCAATCAACAAACAGTTACTGAGTGTACTAGGCACTGCGAATTATGTGTGAACAAGACAGATATGATCAGTGCCCTCGTCCCAGAATTTACTATATAGCAGAGAAGTCAAAAATGATAAATCGCAGTTAATAATTAAGTAATTAATTACTTGTGTAGCTGCAAACAAAGATCAAATAACAAAATTTTCGCATCATCATTCTCTCTTAAATCTGTTACCTTCTTTCCATTCCCACTACCACCATTCTGAGCCTAACATTTGTTACTCTCATCTTTTTCCCCCACTGCTTTCCACAGCACGCTCCAGGTAGACTATTTCCCCATCCAATATACTTGACCATGTAAAACACTATTTCGCTTCTGAGGCTAGTGTGTTTATGAGAACAAAATCCAACTATCACGTTCAATGCCTATCTCAAGGTTGCCTTCATCAGTTGCCCATTCTTGTTCTCTGTCCTGAAAGCCATCCAACAGAAAAGAACACATTGCGGGAGACATGGATGGCTCAATTGGTGAAGTGTCTGACTCCTGACTTCGGCTCAGGCCATGATCTCATGGTTTGTGGATTAGAGCCCCACAGATTCTCCCTCTCCCTCTCTGCCTCTCCCCTATTCTCTCTCTCTCTCTCAAAATGAATAAACTTTAAAAAAAAAAAAAAAAGAAAAGAAAAAACAAAAGAACACATTCGGGTCTTTCTCAGATTTCTATTATATGGTGTAGGAAATAGTGCACTGCACATAGCAGGCATTCACACTATTTTAAGTCAACATGCATTAATAGAGAAAGTATCATAAAATATACCTCACCTTGAAGTGTTTGCATCATTTCTAGAAGTACAGGAGTAAGAGTCTGATTATATTCATGGAATATATCTATAAATAGTACTTCAGTGCAAGGCTAGAGAGGAAAAAAACCAAATTTCCAGTGACAACAATGGTATATTGTACTGATTAATTCTACAATAAAGAAAAGAATACCCATTTTTAAAATCCTAAAACTCCAAAAATGTTTCCAATTTCTGGTATCTTTACATAAAGTAGATTACAATGTTTATAAATATACTGCGGGGGGGTGGGGAGGAATCAAAATTTAATTTGATTCCTAACATAGAAAAAGTTTATTTCGCTATTTGAATCATTTAGCATTATGTATTCAAAAAGTAAAACTACAAAGAGAAAATAACATTTTTAATTAACAACTCCTTAAATTAAAAAAGCAATCTGAAGCCACATTCATTTGCAGATTCAGTGCTGTAACGGACTACCCAGGAATTAATACATTAAAAATTATAAATTTTCTTAGCAATGACATAACAAGTAACAACCACAACTCATGAGTTCAATTCACTACACAGAATAGTATTCCTTTTAACAGACACAAACAGTAACAGAAGTCAATGTTAAGTATATAAAAAGAATGATTCTCTTTCTGGTTCTTAAAAGTACTGAATCACTACATGTTTCATGATATAAAAGAATTACACATTTTGAAGGTACTATGCTTTATGTTTTAAAAGAAATTTTCTATACATACTGAAGCATGTACAGATGAAATGATATGTCACCTCTAATATTTGCTTTAAAATAATCCAACTAGGGTTGGGGGTTTACTTATATGAAACAAGACTAGCCATGAGTTGACGAATAAATGAAGTTTGGGATACAAAGTTTAAAAAAATTAAAGTGGTTAATTTTTTTTTAATTTTAAAGCACTAATAATTTTTTTATTAATAATCTCTGGTTTTCCATGTAACCTTATATAACTAAAAACATTTATATTTTTAGAAAAATTAAAAAATCATGTAAATTATATAAACACAAGTTTTCATTAAAAAAAAACAGTTCAAAGACTACATTTGATAAAGTTTTCTCAAATGTTGGCCATACCAATAATGCATGCTTAGAAAGCGTTCTAAAAATAAAAACTGTGGGCTGGTCTCTGAGAATCACAAGAGGTGGTATAAGAAATAATGTATCAAAAAAAGCTTTAGAATTACTGAAATACTTAGGAGAGGAAAAAAATCATTCCAGCCAAAAAGACAGTTTTCATTTTCAAAAACATTTGTTTCTTCAATGACAATTATTTTCCAATCAGTATGACTGTAAAATAAAACTTCTGTTTCCAACCCCCAACTTAACAACAAAAAAATTCAGGTTAAAATTCATAATTTAATTACTTTCCTCTCAATTTGTCTAGTTTAATGCTTGGAATCATCAATAGAATATCATTCTCTACTAAGACTTACAGAAATATTAAGCATATTTTTGCACAATATTTTAAGCATGAAATTGACAATATTTTCTTGTCAATTTTTCTTTCCATCAATACTTACCCTCAAACTGTATTTCCAAGAATCTCCCCCTGTTTCTTCCACTGCTGTAATTAAAAATATGACCAATGATGCTCTCCAGAAATGCAATAATGATGTTTCCAAAATCAAGGTTTGGAATATCAAGATTTTAAATAACCAGTCTATTTCCATGAGTGGTTTTAAACATTTTACTGAAAGCAAATCCTTGGGAACACAACACCTTACACATATTTATTATACACTACAGATCATATCTGTGATTATCAGTGTCCTATCAAGTGCTGACATAGCATTTGCACTTTCATTAAAAATTCTGTATGCAGGAAAGCTCAAAATGTTTGTCACTTTCAAAGTATCTGATATCAACCGATTGTACATAGTATAAGCATTCAAAATAGCTATAATCCTGGTATTATTTCATCTCAATAATTTTTTTCAATATGTTTTGTAAATTAAAATAGTCACATTTTCCAAAAATTCCCAATATTTAAAGAAAAATTTTCAAAAAATAAAATACTTTAGGGGACTTTTACAGATAGAGGAATTCAGTGATTCATATTACATTACTATATATAATACCCAAAGAAAGCAATATGAAACAGAAGATTTTAGCTAAGAGAAAAAGCAAAAACACAAAAGGATACACTGTAATGCTGTATTTTCTAAATGAAATAAATTTATTTTTACATAACAAAAAGAGGGAGAGGTCTTCCAAAATGTTTAAGGCATTCTTAAATTATTAGGGAACATGAACAGAACTACATAAAGTCACCCAAAGGGATGAAAAAAGGTTAAAATTTAGCCTATGTTTGACCGTGGCCAAAGTAATTTGCACATAGGCACTTTAGAGACACACACCAGGTACTTTATTTATTAGGCAGACGATTTCTTGATTTTCTGTAGGAATGACTCAGATACATTTATTCTATTACTAAAATTCAAACAGATAAAAAAGATCTCCTGTAAAAATATTTTAATCATCAAAAGACTCATTTTAAATTAAAATTTAAATAGGTGATCCATTCAGCAATTCAGAAATTTTCCAAATTTATTTTTGAAATAAAAATTTCTACAAATAAAGTATCAGACGGGATGAATCACACACCTGATAATAGAGACAGGAGGTGTTTTCGATTTAAACTACATGATATGTTCATAGGAACATCTAAAAATTTTAAAAGGTCTATCTCTGGAGAAAACTCCACATATTTGAAAAAATCATTTTCTGCTTTTGTTCCAATGGATAATAAAGAGAGGATATATTAATTTTTAAAAGCCATGACTCTCAGAACAAAAGTTTTATATTAAAAATACAGTGTTATATATATCATTCAAAGAGACGATATGTATTTAGGGAAGGGGAGAAAAGCCATGGGAAAACTGAAAAACTGATTCTTACTAAAGCCTTCTGGGTCTTCTTCCCACATTGTCAGTTCTTCCTCAGTTAACAGAAAATAATGAGAGACTAATCTTCTGCATATCTCTGTCAAAGTGGGATATGTAAAGAATGCCATCTTGATCTTATGTGCTTCTAAAGTTTCAGGACTGCTGTCTAGAAAACATAAAATTTCCAAGTTAATCATACAAACATTTTACCAAAATTGGATTATGTAACTTAAATGAATTAAAAATATACCCTTGGGGGAAAAGAGCAAGTGGTGTACGGATTTTCATTTTTATCAAGGGCAAATTTCAAAGACAGTTCTTATTTGCCCCCCACACACATCATCTTGTAGCCATCCTCTCACTACAGCCTGTACATTACCATGCTGTATTAATACACCACAGTGCAGTGACTTATATACATACATCTCTAAGATAATTTCTCATTCATCTTGCATATACACACACAAATGAATTCCGTGTCTAGAAGTAAACTCACTTCATATCAAGTCAGAAAAATTTTATTTGTGCAAATAAGTACAATATTAACTGCAATGGTTACTGGAGTAATTAATCCTAAACTGGCAGGCTTCAACTGCTCTTTGTGCTACAAAAGATAGTTACTAAGTGCATTATATGGCCTTTAAAGCTGGCACTCACATATTAAAGTCTCTAACACTTATCTCTATTTCATGTGCCAGCAACATTTTGTTTTTCAGACTTTAAGATTTCAAAAAAATGCATAAAAATACCAATTATTTCACATATAAAATAAAGAAATAATAATCATTAAAAAAAACAAAAAACAAACTACCAGTAAGGCATTACCTTCAAAATTTTTGGATGGCTTATAAGCGTAATTTTTTACAATCATCTTAATAAGATTCATGCATTGAACAATGAATCGCTCAAATGTAACGCCTTCACCAACTTCTGTAAATACATAGCTTACAGAAAATTCCAGTGATCTCTGAATTAGAGGAGTAAATGAAAACGGATGCTGATCCAAGAAGTCCAAAAGCTATAAAGAAAAAAATTAAAGTGTATTTACCCCAAATTCATATAGGAATATAATTATCCATAAGTACATCTTATAACTTGCTAATATACACCTGTAAAGTTTTGAACCTTGGTCAGGAGTCCACATACATACAGTTTTGCACGTAATACACATGTAATTGATTTCTTTGGGTATATCATATAATGTGGATTATGTCAAATTATATCTCATGACAGGTATTTCTATTACTTCTACTAGAGGGTCCAAAACAGACCCACTTCATAGTTAATTCAGTAAGAATGGGTAAATATGAAACAAAAATTCTAAGTATATAAAAGAGAAGACTTTAAAAAGTAGTAAGAGGGGCGCCTGGGTGGCTCAGTCACTTAAACGTCCGACTTCGGCTCAGGTCATGATCTCAATGTCCATGGGTTCGAGCCCCACGTCGGGCTCTGTACTGACAGGTCAGAGCCTGGAGCCTGTTTCAGATTCTGTGTCTCCCTCTTTCTCTGACCCTCCCCTGTTCATGCTCTCTGTCTCAAAAATAAATAAATGTTAAAAAAAAAAAATTAAAAAAAAAAGTACTAAGAGCAAGAAAATAAAAAATTATCCTGCCTTTCCTGCATGAATTGTATTTCAACTTATCAAATAAGTTGATGAATCAGATCTCTTCTTCACAGAATTTCTGCTAATAAATGCAAATACAATAGAATGTCATCATTCTGTAATCCCTTACCAAAAAACAGATCTAGGCCATGATCATGAACAGCTTCTAAAATAATAGGAGAAAAGCTGCTGGGGAACTTTAAAGAGCTCCCTCATCATTTTAAACAACTCAACATTGTACCTCCTGATGTGATGCAATACAAGATATACACAGCACCACCCGTGGAGTATTCTTGCTGTCCTCGCCCTCCTCCATGAAATAAAGCTCAATATGATCAAGCCTCTACAAATTTACAAGAAACATTGGAGGAGGAGTAGAGAGACAAAGGAACATGGTAAGTAACATATCAGGATACAAGAAGGCAAATTCAAAACACGAAAATCTTACAAGGAAATTACCTATTACCTCAACAAATAAATAGCAACGAAAAAAAAATGGAAAGAGAACTTGGACACTATCAAATCCTGATTCAAACAAAAGAACTATAAAAATTTTGAGAAAAACCAAAATAATGACTAAATATTTAGATGATAACAAAAAGTCATTCCTACTTCTTAATTGTGTTAGATTCTTTTTTTAAACCCCTTATCACTTAAAGACAAATATTCAAGTATTTACAGATAATACTAATATGATATCTGAGATCTGCTTTTAAGTAACCAGCAAGGAGGGGAGAGAGAAGTATAAAGATAAAACAGAACTAATCTTCAACAGAAGTTCATAATTCCTGAAGCTAAGTGATGACTTCATGGGGACTCAAAGTCACTCAATTCTACTTGGAGGTATGTTTGTAAGTTCCAATTTTTAAAGCTTTAATCAAGTCAGAGACTATAAATATGAAAACTTTATAAATAAAATTATTCATCAACACCACACAGCCCCACTAATCACATGATGTCATTTTCTTTGCTTTGTATTTTTTTGTTTTTAACTTAAAATACCTGAGCCAATTTTATACTGGATCTTGGAAGATTAGGTGGACTTTTGCTGTTGAGGCTAGTTAGAACATAACTTGGAAACAAGGAGAACTGAAACCAAAGGTAAGTGCTACTTAACCACAGCAATAAGAACAGCTCATTTCTACTTCTTTTCTCCCCTCCCAGGGAACAACTTAACCCTATTAACAAAACTTAATGAAAGAGGGAAAACCGGCTACAAATTTACATACTGCTGTCTTCAACAACCTGTTTTAGTTCAATGCAGTTCTCAAACTAGGTCTTCCTGATGGCTACAACCCAACTATATATACTTCTCCCAACCATCCTCAGCCCAAAATTTCAGAAACGTCAGTTTCTATAAAATTTAGTTTTATCAGAAATTTAGACACATTGCCTAACACAGTGTACTCATATAATTCTATTCAAAAGGTGTTTGATATTAATGATGACAATGTCTTTATGAATATAATAACTTCCTGATAATATACTGCCTGCTATATATGATCTATTTCCTGATTAGCTACACTGTTATCTTCTTTATCTCTGCTTTCATCCAGTAGGCTTGAGAATAATAAGCTTCAGAAGACTCAACCTCTCTACTATTTATTAGGTTTGTGGTTATGTTTTATTATTTTTTTTCATCAAAGTGACTTATACTGATATAGCATATAAAACTTAATTATTACATTCATTCTAAATACTTCCAAGATACCATTTTTTTAGCTTTGCTGTAGTCAGAAAATAAGGTACTTTACACTAAAATGAGAATGCATGCTTATGTCATTTTCCTTATCAAATCTGAGTTATGTATATTTTATGTAAGAAAACATACTTAAGGTAAAAAGAAAACTTACCACTTTAGTAAAAAGAATGATGGTCTTTTCCAGTCTGTCTCTACATACATTATCTGTACCTATACTTCTACCTGTTAAAAATACAATCCAAATATTAGTACAAGTTTATAATATTCCATAAATTCACAATCAAAACAATGGCAAAACTTGCTGGAAAAATACGGTCAGGCATGTTTTCACCTATTTTGCATTATAAATCCTGTACTGTGCTTTCCCAACTCTAAAAAATTAATCATAAAACTAAAGTTCTTAAAAATCATTACCAATATTTATAGTTTTCACACACAGTAATTCATAGTGCCATGTTCACAAAATTAATCCTAAAATACAAACTAAGTCCCTGTTAAAGGAAAAGGATCGTAGCAATTTTAATCTGTGAATAGCTTATCATAGTCTCAAATTTTAAATTAGTTATAGGTGAAATATTTTTCAAGCAAAGTAAAAACGAAGTACTGAAAGATTAAAATACTCATTATTTTTCCTAGATCTTCTGACAATTTTCTTTGGATAATTTGCCTGGCATAATTAATTTTGTACATTCATAACACTGTCCACTAGCCCATTAACTGCTCTATAAACAAATTCTTTCTATTCATCTCATCATTTACGTTAGTCTCTCCTGGGAAGACTCCTACTCTTCCCTCTGCATCTCCACAAGGTAACCAAAGAAAATGACCACTTTTATTAAAATGAATTACTTTATGTAAGTTGTCTTAATCATCTTTGCATGCACAATACCCAGAATAGTGTCTAGAAATAGACTCAACAATGCTTTTGCTGAAAATGACTGACATCAAATAATCAACAACTCCCTAAAAGTGAGTACACTAAAATATCTTCTCAGCCTATTAAGTCTCCAAATACATACATATATACAGGATGTACACATGTGTATGTGGGCATGCAAGCATATGGGTATGTATTTTGTGTCTGTAGGTGTGTTTATCCTCAACAAAGGTGTTCACAACCACAAGGAGGAGAAAAGGTTAACAATAAGACCACAGTATAACACAACACAAATATAGATGTTAAATTCTCTTGTGTGGGGTAGTGAATTAGAGACGGTCCTAAAGAGAAGCCAATGAAAATTCTGAACCAGAGATCTGCAAAATTAAAGTACCACTTAAGGTATTAATTTATATAATATATATATGTAAAATGTACTGAAAGAAACAAAACTGGGTGACTCACTCGGTTTAGCGTCTAACTTCAGTTCAGGTCATTATGTAGCAGTTTGTGAGTTTGAGCCCCATATTGAACTCAATGCTATTAGCACAGAGCCCACTTCAGATCCTCTGTCCCGCTCTCTCTGCCCCTCCCCAGCTCACACTCACTCATTCTCTCTCAAAAATAATTGAACATTAAGAAAAAATTAAAAAAAAAGAAAAGAATCTATACAAAGTCTAAACAGCATGTGGCAGAGGAGCTACATTTAATAAGTATTTGTTAAATATATGACTGTTGTACGTTTGCATGGAAAAGAGCAATAGCAGTAAAAGCATCTACAAAGAATGGACACAAAACAGAATTTTAAACAAGTTTCCTCAATACTCAGGACAAGACAGATGTATCAAGACAAAGATGAGCTCCAATTTAACTTCAGAGAATTAACCATCAAGACACAAGATTTTAGCCTCTCTCCAGATTTCCTAGCGCAGAGCAGAAGCAATCCATGAATAAAGATTCTACAAGTAAAATCTACTGTCAAAGAAGTACTTACTGCATTCCAGGAATTGTTTCAGACGGTCAAATATTCCATGTAAAAAACCCTAGGAAAGATTTTTTTAATGTCTCAATTTATTGTTGTAAACATCTCCCTTATACTTTTTACAAGACTATTAACATTTATCATATCATTTTAATAAGTTAAAATTATATAAAGTAAAAAACATTCTATTATTATAAACAAACCTTTCTTCAAAGAAGATAGAACATTTCATCTCTCAAAGTGTCATTTCAGTTACCTAAATCACTTTACAATAAAACATTATTTATTGAGTATTTTATTTCTAAGTAATCTCTATTCTCCTGTTTTTCCATCTTCACAGCTCATATAATCCCGACATAGTGTTTGTGTAATATGTGCCTCCTCCCACTACAATGTTCACTCTCTGAGAACTGGAACTTGTCTGTTTATTGCTCTACCCCAGAAACCAGAAGCAGTATTCAGGAACAGTAAGTATGCAGTATGTGGATAAATGGTACCAATTACTGAAAGGAGAGGTTCTGAAGTTCAAGTATTAAATATTATATTTAATATATAGTTAAATTATGAATTAAATATAATTATATAATAATTAAATATATTAGCTTTCAGATATAAGACAAGTGTCACCATTTGTCATCTGGTAAAAATCTAAACAACCCTTATTTGTTAATAGGTATTTAAGAAATATTATAAAAATTTTACAGATATAAAGGGATAGTAAAAAACAACTTCATTAAAATTTTTAAGGGGCGCCCGGGTGGCTCAGTCGATTAAGCAACTGACTTCAGCTCAGGTCATGATCTCGCAGACTATGAGTTGGAGCCCCACGTAGGGTTCTGTGCTGACAGCCTGGAGCCTGCTTCAGATTCTGTCTCCCTCTCCCTATGCCCCCCTCTCCCGCCCGACTCTCTCAAAAATGAATAAACAGTTGTTTTTTTTTAATTTTTAAGAATTTAAAAATCTCAGACTTTCTGGCTCAATAGATTTTGGTGTATAAACATCATACAAGATGTCACATGTTCTTTCAACAAACAGGATGGTCCACCTTTTTGTCACAAAATAACCACATGATAAAGGCCTTAATTACAAATGACTAGAATAGAATGTTATTTCCTCTTTGTTCTTAGAGATATATTCTTCATTCACTCATTCTTGAGTTTGAGACCATTTAACTAGGATATCATCATCTGAAGACTGAGAAAGAGATTTCACTTGGAGAATTTCACCGTCACACTTAGGGTCTAGAATGCTGCTCTCAGTCTGTCTGAAAGCATCCATCTTCTGACTCATGTAAAAATTATGAAACCTCTTTCTCTTGTCAATTTTCTTCTCTGCCACGTGGACAGGAAATGAATTTTGAATTCTCAATGTGTTACACAAAAGCTGAAGGTACAATAAAAAGACAGTGCTTCCAGTCTTCTTTTATTCCTTCTTGAAAGATGGAATGCAATGCACAACACAGTAAGAAAACTACAGGATGACAATTTCACTACCACTCCATCCTCTGGCAATTTCATCATTCTTCCACTTTCACAGTATTTCAATCTTTTTAACCACAATGGAGAGTAATTGAAAAATATTAGGTAAAAAATAATAATAATAAATCCTAAGATGATAAAAGAGCAAAAGGTTTCATTATAGGAAGAATAAGATCATCGAGATTCCATACACATTTTAAATTTATACAGTAGTCCAATGGTACCTTAAAGTAATGACAACATAGAAGGAATTTTATTCTATCACTTTTAAATAAAATTAGTTTATCAATAGGGGTACTCCGAAGAAAGTGGAAAACTGTAAAAGCCATCAACTTTAGTAAGCTGAAGAAGAGAAAGAGGAATTTACAAAATTATAGAGATCTGACTAATTTGTAGTACAAATAAGTTTATGATTTATTCTGTTTATATAATAACAGAATAAGAACTCAAGTTAATCATTAAATGGTAATTTACAGAGTGCTTTAATTAGCTGAAACTAGTTACAAAAATCAGTACCTCTATTACTCCTCACAACATTCAGTAAGGTAGGTAGTATATTTCATTTCCATATTACAAAAGAAGAAACGGGGTACCAGGTAAGATAAGAAAATAGCTGGAGGCCATGCTACCAGGAAAAGGCCAAGTCAAGATTCAAATCCAAGTTTATCTGCCTCCAGAAACCAAAATCTCACCACTATCATACAGTGCTTCTATAGCATCTTTTAAGTTCCATCTTATTTTTAAGATGTTTATGTTCCATCTTATTTTTAAGATGTTTATGTTATTTGAAAAACCATCCTTAACTTGTTAAAATTCTATCTTGTTTCCAACTACTCAGTATAACCTTAACTGCTACAAGACAACATTTGTAAGAGTAAAAGTTGATACAGTTTCAGCAGACAGAAGAAAGACTCTTAAGAGAAAGCCAAAGGCTCACAAAACACTGATAGTTTTCAATGAAAACCACTATTCCAATTTATGGTAATGTGATTCAAATCAACAATTCATTTTTATTAAAAAACAAAAAGAACCCTGAATCATCAATATTTTAGTTAACATAATTTTATGACACTCACAATATTACATACAAAAATAATGACTGAGCCATGTGACCTAATGTTTCTACTATATAATATATTCATTCATTTTAAAAATAACTATTGAGCTTTTATTACTGGCAGAGACTGTTCCAAGCTCTGGGATGAATAGTGAGTGAAATATATATGTACACATACCCATATCCATCCAAGTGTTCACTCCAGCATCATTTACCAACAATTAAAAACTGGAAACAACCTACATATCCATCAACAGATAAGTGGGCAAGTAATTTACAGGAACCCTATATTAATGTTATAATTTAAAGAAAAAATTAGCTCGCTGATAGTAAATGCATGGATTCACCAAAGAATCATTAGAAACATAACATAATATTACTGACATAAGAAAACTATCATACTAAGTGTAGGAAAAAGCAAGTGAAGAAACAGCATATGGGTACCTTTTACAGAATACTGAGGAAGAGAGAAAAGCATAAAATGTCTTAACATATACTTACAAATTTTACCAAGATCTCTGATAGCAAGTTTTCAAATGATTATTTCCTTACTTTTTAACTTTAAAAAAGTATGTAAACCCTTTTACAGAACAAAATAGCACACTGAATGATTCAAATTACCAGCTTTTAAATTCTTTTAACAGTAAAATCATTATTGCAATCTAAATCTGACACACAAAACATACTAAAGATTTAAAACAAACAAACAAGTAACTCGGGTCAAATAGGGTAGGTCAGACCCAAAGACCAATTCGATGTACTTTTTTCAAACTTCCTGTTCAGTACCCCCAAAGCAATCCACAGAAAGCAACATTTTAGCAAACTTGAACTTTCCTGAGAACACTAACATAGATCTGGGTAAATATATAATATAGTATCATTTTGTTTTGGGATAAACATATACAGCTATATATTTTTGTATACAGAAAAGCAGATGATGCTATACCAACCATGAATATAATCACAAATGTTGGCTTATCAAGAGGGCTTTCCCTTCTTGGATATATTTTTCAGTTGACTGCAAAGAGCACGGATGTATGTTATGATTGAAGAAAAAAATTCATTTTAAATATATAACATCAGACGAAGAGAAATATCAAGGATATAAATATCCACAATGGAACTGGAAATTTGTTAATAGCATTCAAATTCAAGAAGTTCACCCAAATTCAAATTGAAATGAACACTCTCAATGTATCATCATGGCCCTTGAGAACTGTCCTAGGCCTATTTCCTTCTCTTCACAAAGGAGCTGCTTTGATATACTGAAAAAACGCCACAAGTCAAAAAAGGTATAGTGTAACATATACAAATGGTAAACGGTCACTTTATAAAAACTTACAAATCAATGCCAAGTAAAAAGAATAAGCTTTAAAACACTGAGGAAAATACCAAGCACTTTCCCAAAGCCACAATCAGCAACTTCTTTCACTTACCATCACCTCCATATTCTTATGAGGTTCCACAAATCCATTAACAGTTAATTTACGCAGCACTGAAAAGTAAAATTGAGCTTTACTGCATCTGATTTTCTCACATTTTATCCTATTAAAATCATAATCATAATAAAGACTCAGAATCAAAAAGCCTCATTAAGACTGGGGGTTAATCTAACTTAATCCTTTCATATAATAGATAAAGAAAAATAATCCCTGGTCACTGGTTCATTTCCAGGTAGGCAAGCTGGAATGACAGCCAAGTTTTTTTTAACTCAAAAGCTGAGTTCTTCTCACTTATCTTAACTACTTAAGTTTCTAAAACTATATTGCAACATTTAACTTCTCTAATTGTAAGTATTTCTCACCTGAAATAACCCCTAGAGGTTGAAACTGAGATGGTCATCTCTATTCCGTAACCTTGAAAATAGGTCTCAACAGTGACCAAAATGCTTCATTTAGTTTTAGGCTACATTAATGAAAATACCGTTATCACCTAAAAGCGATATAAAAACTCAACTATTTCTAAATCCGGAATAGACTACAGTGCTCAAGTATAAGCATCACATTTTATGTGTAACTGGTGTACACAAGGAGGCGAGCAGGATAAACAAATGGAAGTCAGATCTAGATGTAAAAAGCTAGCTCCAAGGTCTACCACTACATTCTTTTGAACAACTTTTCTAGATCTCACATTGCTGGTCTGTAAACTGGTTAACAAGTCCTACTTCACAGCGTTATTAAAGGATTCAAGAGTAAAACACTCAGCACAAATCAGTAACACAAAGATGATGGCAGCATGAGACTACAAAATTCTAAACCACATCATTTTAGGAAAACACAGACACCACTGTGATCTTTACAACTCAGAGTTAGTGTTCATGAGGTGCAGCCTAAAGGCAGTATATTAAAAATAGGTTTAGAATCCAACTCTCTATAGAATCATCAGTTTCACACATCCAATTATATACGACTCAAAAGTTCCATCATCACAAAAGGAGAAAATAGAATTCAAAATGAGTCCCTTATTCTGCATTCACTCGTTCCCACAAAAGAACTTGGTCCACATCACCTGAGAAGGTCCTCTCTTCTCCAGTCGTCACCTCGTTAACTTCAATTTGCCCTAGGATGATTCTTTCTCAAGGAAGTCCTTTGTGACCATGTTGCCAGTTATCATGACATTGTAAGACCACTGTCGCGAGTGACTTTACACGTATTTGTATGACCATTTTATCATGCCTGTCTACCCAGTGTCAAACACCTAATTTATTTATTGAATGAAATAATGAATATATGCATGTCTAAAAGATACTAAATGCACACAGTATAAATTCAGATTATATATAACAAAAACTGTAGTCTTAAGCATTGCTCAAGGCACAGAAATTTACAGCTAGGCAGAACAAATATTTTAAAGGAAAATACTATGGGATTGTAACAGGTTAGGATACCTTAAAAATGCTAAGGTGTATATCTAAGACCCTGAGATAGAGAAGTAATGAAAAGGTAAAAAGCAGGCTAATAGAGAGTAGGGCTGCATCCCTTTTGTCAGGAAGTACACTTTGAAATCACTGAGGCAAGAAAATCAACTGAAAGCACTCATGAAAATTCCTTAATCATCAAACACAAAACTGACACAAGTTTTGTATTTATGACCTTATACCAGTTTCTCTACTTCTTTCTGGATAAATGTTTCTCTCTACATCCTTTTAATTTCTTCTCCAGAATGGTCACAAAACCATCTCCACTCACTTGTGTAATGAACCACCAGTACAATGAATTGTACTTGTCAATAGTCCCTTAAAATATTCCCACTTTTGTCTACAAAGTTCACCAGAATGTGCCAACAGCCTGAAGTCTGTACATCCACTGCCTAGTTAACATACGTGATGCAGGAGAACAGTACCAAGAGTGTACAACAGCATCCTAAGGTACTAAGGGAGTAGGATAAAAGGGTTTACAAGTAAAGCAAAAGGATTCGAAATGAGCCACAGTAAGAGAACTAAAGGCAGCCTGAAATCAAACTAAAAGAAGAGCTCAAACTAAAAGAGCGTAAGCAGAAGAGGAGAGACTGGAAGACAGAGAAAGAGCCAAAACAGTGTTTTACCAAGGAAAAGAATCTCAGAAAACCTTCATCAAGATAAATAGCTCAAAGGCAAGTAAAATGAAGATTTACGCTAAGAGAATACCTACAAGGAAAGCACAGGATAACCGAGGGTAACTGATGACACACCGTCAAGCACCATTGAAAACCCAGGTGGGCCTGAGACCAAGGAGAAAGACAGAAGCTGAGTTCTCAGGGCAAACAGAGCTGGGAGATAGCACTCAACTAATGCTTGAAGTTTAGTGAAGTTAACATGACAATGATAAGGGCAGAATGGGTTTCTACCCAGAAAGAGAAGTTTAAAGCAGAAGCAAAAAGAAGTACAATTATTTGGAAGGTATGTGTCCAGAGCCCTGAGACCTCAGTAACGTGAATATAATAGAAAACTATCCCACACTTTTACAAATTAGAGAGAAAGCTATTCTCACAAAAGAAAAACCAACCACAAATAACACCTTGTCTGTGAGGGAGAAATTAACCCCTCATTCTCCCAGGGCAAATGGGAGCAGAAAATCCACCACAGGAACTATTGGTGACTCTTTTGAGATAGGTCATTTCCGAAATGAACATGTCAAATTGAACAGTACCTTTCAATGACAGCAGAGTTCGTTCTAATGAACTTAGAACTGCAGCTTCATTCCCAGAAGAAACTTGTTGAAGGAATGTGTCTGTATGGTGATTCCACAGAGAGCAGGCAAAATTATAAATTCCAGAAGCTAACTGCAAAGAAATATCAACAAATTCACAAAAAACATTGATTTCAGTAACCAATTAGCTCTATATAGTAATACATTTCAGTTTTAACCCTGAACACACATTTTCAGTAAGATGTGAAACAGTTAAGTCATTTATCACATTTCAAACTGTATTAAGCCAAACACACAGCAGCAAGGACCATTTGCTGGCTGCTGGTATGAACACACATACACACACCTTAACAGCTCGTTCTTCTCAAACCACTAGTCTCATGCCTGCATTGCAGCCTGACATTTTCTTTTTTTCTGGCTGGCTCGGTTGGAAGAGCATGCAACTCTGATCTCAGGGCCATGAGTTCAAGCCCCACAATGGGTATCCAGATTAGTTAAATAATTTAAAAAAAAACTTTAAAACACTGACAGACTATCAGTGAGAACAGCAGATAAAACAATATACTAAGAAATACAAAAGATTTCGGTGTCCTGCCAGGTCTACCCATGTGGTTTGGGGGCATTTAAAAGCCAGGAACATACAAGCCACAATGCTTGTCATGCTACTTTCTGATTTTGTACTGGTATTTAAAACATCTGACTCACAGTGGGATGCAGTTGGCCTCTGCCTCCCAAGTTAAGGCAGAACCATTTCTAATGGTATCCTGTATTATTTTTTTTTTCCAGAAGGTCTAAGAGTCTTTTTCCAGAAGGCCATTTACTTTAAACAAAAGTGAGATGAAAGTACTTATGACTAGTTATCATTAGCACACTTCGGAAAAGTTTTTCTTAATCCAGACAAGTCTATCATTTCCACTCAATACTGGATTTGTGATACGATTAGGCATCAGAAACCAGTCAGGAATGTAATCCTGCAAACAAAATAATACTTCCATGAAAAAAACATTCCACTTCTGTTATTTTAATTCAGTAATTTTTTTATTTTATTTATTTATTTTTGGAGAGCGAGCGAGCATGTGGGCATGCAAGCAGGGGAGGGGCAGAAAGAGGAGAGACAGAATCCCAAGCAGGCTCCACACTAAGCACAGAGCACAACATGGGGCTTGATCCACAACCCTGAGATCACGATCTGAGCTGATTCAGAGTTGGACACTTAACCAAGTGAGCCACCCAGGTGCCCCTTAATTCAGTCATTTTAATGACCTGCGTGTGCTTACAGGTATAGGCAAAGAGCTCTGTCAAATCTCCCTAGTGATTTTGCATGTACCAACAAAGGCCACACAAAGGCTTGAACCCCAAAGGGGGTTATCAGCACAACATATTACAATCCTCCTGAAAAACAAGAAATGGAAGGCTTATAAGGAACTGCTACAAGAGCATCTCCTGCTCACCTCCCTATCTCTTCAGTTAAGCTGTCATAAAACTGCTTCTCACCTCCTAGGTTCTGTTAAGATGTAAAGTTTTCTAACCCATTTCCCTCAAACAGAGCTGTAGAAAATGAAACTAGTTATGGTCTAGAACTGGCTCCTCAGCAATGGTGCATCCCACAATTTGCACCTGAGTCATTTGCCCATATTGCTTTGGTCATTCTTTTTGGTGTGTATCAAAAGCCACAGGGAGTTGGTGGTACCAATCGCTGACTCCTTTTCTCTAAGTAACAAACTGACTGAATCTAAAAGAGGTCCTATCTTCACCAACTGATCAGTCAGGGCTAGCAGTTGGCCCACCCTTGCCTTGTGCACATGCTTGACAACAGGTACGACGACTACTTATTAAATAACTTCAACATATTCTCAAGTAATCAAAATATTTAATCCCAATATTTCTTGATCGCCAAAATATAGTAGTGATAATTACCTCACCGTATTACAGCACAAGCAGCAGTATCATAAAAAAATTAAGGATCTAAAACTGACATGATCTCATGAAACACTGCGATGACAGAGAAGTAAATAATCAGAAGAGATATAAGCTGAAAACCAAAATCAAAAATTTGTAAGATTTTCTAACTATAATGAACTTCAGTATTTTTCTTAGTAAATCGAATCCTTTCTGAAAACATGAGGCTAAAATATATGCCTAAGAATCAGAAAATACATCTTTTTGATTTTTATTACACTTCTGTGTAATTGTAAGTTAGAGCATCATATACTTTTCCAAACATATAAATCATCAAAGTATTTATCTGCCAGAATAAAGTGAAAGGAAACAAAGAGATTTAGAGATAGGAAAAGGGTAGGAATTGTACACAGATCGGAAAGTAAAGCTTTAAGGTAAATTTCTTACGGTAGCAAATATTTCAACCAGGTTAACTGAAGTCTATAGCCTTGTCTATAATTTTTACATCCGTTTTATACTCTTTTTAGTAAATAAAATCTAAGGGGTGCCTTACCCAAATTTCACATACGAAAACAGTAGCATTCTAAACCAACCTCTTGCTTACAAATTATTTTCTAGTCTCCTTCACATCTCTATTTTTTTTGTTTGTTTAACATTTATTTATTTTTGAGAGAGAGAGACAGAGCATGAGTGGGGAAGGGGCACAGAGAGAGGGAGACACAGCATCTGAAGCAGGCTGGCTCCAGATGCTGTGTCTCCCTATCTGTTCCTCCCCTGCTCACACTGCCTCTTTCCCTCCCAAAAATAGGGGTTAAAACAAAAAAAATTTTTAATGTGCAGGACTGTCTATACAAAAAAAATTTTCTATCACTGTTATGTGAGGTCACTTGAACTCTTTTCTGTTTCATAAAAAACAAGTATGCAGATCATGTTAACTATATGATAAAAATAACAAAGCTAACATTATAACTTAGACATTCAGACATTTCAACATTCAGACATTTACTGAACCCTACTCTGCACTAGGCAATGCTCTTGGTTTACCTTCATCACCTTATTTAACCATCACCTCCTACAAAGTAGGTATTATCCCCATTTTACAATAAGAAAACTGAGGTACAAAAAGATGAAGCAAACTTGCACAAGAGCAAAGAGCATAAATAATTAAGAGGAAGAGGAAGGAATGAAACCAAAGAAGGTGCTCAGAGCTTACATTTTTAATAGCTATGTTCTAATCTCTTAATACCCATATAGGCAGAGTCAATATAGTAAATCCTATTTTCCAAAAGTTAGATAACAATTCAATAATGGTAGAATTTTATTTTCATAACAAAAAGGAAAAATTCCCCAAATTCACTAAGATCAATAATACTCTCAATATGGATACAATAAATTGTGTGAATCAGAATCTCACCTAAGGTTCTTCTACAAATCTCACCCTTTCTACACCAGTCAACAGAAAAACATGTACTTTTGTTCCATTATTTACATGGAATACCTAATACAAACTGAACATTCTTCTTATATAATTTTTATATACATATAAAATTTGGAGCAAGTTCCATTCATTAATCCTAAGAGTCATGGGGCCTTCTAATTCTCTTTTTTTTTTTTTAATTTTTTTTTTTTTTACAACGTTCATTTATTTTTGGGAGAGAGAGAGACAGAGCATGAACGGGGGAGGGGCAGAGAAAGAGGGAGACACAGAATCGGAAACAGGCTCCAGGCTCCGAGCCATCAGCCCAGAGCCTGACGCGGGGCTCGAACTCCTGGACCGCGAGATCGTGACCTGGCTGAAGTCGGATGCTTAACCGACTGCGCCACCCAGGCGCCCCAAGGGGCCTTCTAATTCTCAATGCCCTCCTCAAACAGTACATGCCAGACTCCAGGAAGAAAATAGTAATGAACCATTCCCTAGTTCCTTAAAAATAAGCTTAAACTTGAGCAAAAAAGTTTACCAAATGGAATCTGACACCAGCTCAAGAAAAAAATATATAACGAAAGGCACCTGGGTGGCTCAGTCATTTAAGCGTCCGACTCTTGATTTGGGTTCAGGTCATGATCTCAGTTCATGGGATCAAGCCCTGCATCAGGTTCTGTGATAACAGCAAGGAGCTGGCTTGAGATCCTCTCTCCCTCTCTCTCTCTCTGCCCCTTCCTGGCTCAAACGCTTGCACTGTCCCTCTCTCTCAAAATAAACAAACATATATCATATATATATGATAACCTGTCAGCCTAAACCATCAGCATATTTTCAAACTGTGACCCTATTCGAGAGGTCCACTGCTTGGGAGTGCATCAAATGGAACACAACCCAAGGAAGTGTTGAAAGTAACGAATTCTGTATTACTTGTTACAAGTAAGGAGACAGGGAGATGGCTCTCAAAGAACTCTGTCCCTGTGGGGTTAGTGCAGGAAGCCTTTGTTCAGTGTATCAAGGGCAGTGGCAGGGAGCTCCCATACGCACCTTGGTTCAAGTACACATGCACAGCATGTCAACATGCTTGCTAGTGCATCTATCCCATGTTCAAAAAATGGGAGAAAACTCTGCCCATAGGAGACCTTAGTATTATAATGAACTAAATGTAACTTCAAGACAACGCCGAAGGGCTTCTGTGCAGGTCCTCAGCTCCAACCCAGCTCAAACTGACTCATGTAAGGGGCTATCAGGTGAGATACACAAAGCAAGGAGCTCTCAGATGCAACACCTAGTTGGGAGTCTCCTTGGCTAGAACTGCTGGTTTGGCAAAACAAAACTTTTAGCCCTCTTTGAGTAACTTCTCCTTGCATCTTAGCTAACAAAAACACGTCAGATTTATTTTTAAAGGTGCTTTATAAGAACAATAGCAAAATGGCATAACTATTTTACTGTTATAATTTTTTCAGGCACTACTTCTTATTACCAGGAGAATATCCCTTTACAGAATGCTACCACCTGCATATACACAACGTACATTACAATATACATACCAAACATAAAATCCTCCCCACTCACACCCAACACAAAAAACAAAATATACCACAGAACAACTGTGAATACTGAACCAAAGGTTCTCAATGTCAGAAAGGTAAACAAAAGGAAGTATTTCATCATGGTAGAATCAAAGTCATCCTAATAAAATTCTATCTTGCTCCATAAAATTGTCCTCTTCTCCTTTTTTAAACATGTGTAAGAAAGTTGCGTAACTCAGAATATCCAAAGTTCTACCATTCTGCCTTAAGAAACTTTCAACA